TCCAGGCACATGCCCAGCGCTGGGACTCGTCCCATCCCTTGCCTCAGGCACAGGGAGCCTCAGGAGTGGGTTTCTGTCCAGCATTGATCTCAGACACACCCACAGGTCGCTCAGGTGCGTTGGGAGCTGCGTGCTGGGCTCTGGGTTTGTGCAGGAGGTGGCCTCAGCATTGGGAAAACCAACCTGTGTGCTCAGGGCAGGGAAGTCTGGCACAAAGCAGATGAGCGTGTCAGCGCTCATCAGGGTGAGTGGCGCCGAGCACGGGCTCCCCGTGTGTGCTGTGCTGGCAGGACCTGAGCTGGTTCCTGTGAAATTAGCTCATTATCTCGGTGCAAACCCGCTCCCCACAACAGCAGGAGCCTGTTGGTGCCCGGGCATCCTGCAGCCGACCCCACTGCCGCAGCAGCATCACACCACTCCTCGGCATCCCAGAGCCGGTACCTGCGTGTTCACAGCTAGCATCCAGCACAGTGGGGTCCTGAGACAGGGCAGCTGCTTCCAGAGCTGTAAATACACAGCTTTCTCTATGGTTTAACACCCTTAAAAAAGAAATCGAAGCAGATGGAGCTGTACTACAAGCAGCTCAGTGTCCACCCTGATTAGATGCTTCTGTTGGGTTTCTCCCCACTTGTGGCCTTTGCCCCTCAGAGCTTTTAAAAGGATGTAAAGACTGAATTTCACTTATCTCCAGAGCCATTTCCTTCTGAGTGCTACTGTTATGCCTCAGAAGGCATGAAACAAAGCGTATTAAAAGACAGATTGACTTTTCAGTCTGATCCAATCTGGGGAATTTGCAGAAATAAAGGAGTTAAGTTAGTACTTTGCTTCTCGTGCAGTAGCCCAGTGTCACAAATAGTCACTCTGTCCTGCACATTCCTTCCTGCATAACACACTGGGCACACCAGCCTCCTGCAGAGACCAGCTCTGCGTGTTAGGCCTGCTATTTGTCAGCTGTGCTGGCTCCTGTTTGAGTCCTGTTGCTGGTTAAGGTGGAAATGGGTTTATATGTGGGCACAATCCAGTTGCTGTTGGCCTGGGACATCTGTAGCACGTGTATTTTGCCTGGAGGAGATACATAATTCCTGACCTCTGTGGGCTGGCCCCCCATGCTCGCTCTGTGGAGGGTGTGAAGCTATGGCAAAGCTTTGGAATTTCAGTTCTGGAGAGATTATCTTGAACTTTCAGTTCAGAGTCTCCCTGCTCAGCTCCTGTGTGCCAGCTCCGAGAGCAGTCCCTGGGCAAATGCCACAGAGCAGGACTCGTCCCTCAGCAGCAGGCTGGTGGACCAGCTCCATTTGCTTGGAATTGCAGCTTCCCTTTGGCTGCAGGGAGCCAGCCCCTTGCTGGGGACTGCATGGAGCAGGTTGCTGCTCCCTCCTTCAGCACCTGGACTGTGGCTGCCACCAGGACTGTTGTGCAGAGCTCAGTGAATGCAAGGCGCTGCTTTCTCCCAGCTCCTGTGAGACCAGAAGGCTCTTGAATCCTGACCTTCAAACTTCATCCCCCCTTCACCACCGTTCCCCTTGACTCCTGTTGCTGCCCAGATTTTCCTAACAGCTGTCCTCTGCCTCGCTGGCTTTGTGCCTAGATCAATCTCTCTGCATCTGTGCAGTGACCCCACTCACTCCCCAAGGTCCTCGAGTCCCTGCAGGCTCCATCCCCTGAGACCCAGGATCTGTGCAAGCTCCTTGTGCCTCTGTCTGATGGAGGGAATTCAGGGCCCCTCCAGCTCTGCTGGGCTTTGGTGATCCTGCTGCCATGGAGTGAGCACTGTAGGGTTTGGACCTCGTCTCTTTCCACTTGTAAACCCCCCCAAGCACAAACAGGGCTTGGTAAATAATAGTGTGATGAAGGGGGTTAGATGGAAGAGATCTGACAGCCCCCATTGAATGTGATCTGACTGCACAGCCCTGTTCCCTCTCCTCGCTGCATGCAGCAGCCCCCTGCTCCTTAGGGCATAAATTACTTACCATTCCCTGTAGAATTGAGGGCATGGTTAATTCACCAGCACGTTCCTGCTGCCCAGCAAAAAAATTATGACGCTCTCTCTCCTCCCCTGGCTAGCAGAGCCGCTCGGTACATCTGCCTGCCTGGCAGAGGGAGGCAGAAGCTTTTTATTGTCAGGTCCTCTGCTTATTTCTTAGTCTTAGGTCTGGTCTGACTCTTCAGTAGAACCAGCAAGGTGCAAATGTTGGAATGTTTGGAAGTGGAAATCAGAACTAATGTCCGAACACCTTTCTTGTAGCAGCTGGAATAGCCGACCACAGGAGGCAAATGGAGATTTCCTGGTCTGAGTTCTTCCTGACCACGTGTGACTTTTGTTTTAGAGCAGCCACTCACATTCGGTATCTCCTGGGTCCCATCTGGAGCCTGAGTGGGAAATTGTGCTCCTAGCAGTATTCTGAGATGTAAAAAAATCACTAGTGTGGAATGGCTGCGAAGGATGCTCAGTGTGCAGGGAGCAGGCTAAACAAAATATGTCCTTAGGGCTCACCACTGTGTGAGCGAGGCAATGTGATGTGTGATTTTTTGGGCTATTATTAATTCAACAAAGAGTATAGTGGGGCTCAGTGGAGGACTTGGGCTGGACCTGCAAAAGCCTCTGTAACATTATGATACACAACACTTCTCCCTGGGAGGGATCCAAAGCCTCATTTGTGGAGCTGAATTCTTGTTATAAATCATGGGGCACATGATGGGCTACATTCATTTAGGCTGCCTCTTCTGCATCCTTCCTGGAAGCTCATCTAATAAGAGCTGGCCTCTGGATGCTCGAACCTTGATGTGCCACCGTTTGTTAATTGCTGGCAGTAGAAGAGCTGCTTTTTTTTGCCTTGAAATGTGGAATCCCTTCCTAGAATTGCACTTGGGACTAATAAAAGCCCGTGCCAGGTTTAATATATTCTATCTCACAAATTATCTGGATTAAATACAAGGACTCTATACTGCCAGAGAGGGGATATTCCCAGTTTAACATTGCTTCTGGGCCTTGGAGATCCCAAGACACTGAACCTGAAAATTGTGATTCTCTTCTGTGTGGAGGAGGGGTTTGGCAGCAGTGCTTGGAAGTGGTCATATTTGGCCGAGTAAGAGATTTAATTGCCATAAAAACTATGATTTTGTAACCAATAGTTACAGCTGCAGGAAAGATCAGAAAGCATCTGAATAAATCAAATTAACTACCTCCTGCTCCATCTATATGAGAGCAGAACCTTTCGGGGCAGGATTTGAAACATGGTCTGGTCGACCCTTAACTCTCCCACCTACGAATTGAGGAGAGTGAATAGTCTAGAACTACAATGAACTAAAACAGGAGATAGAAGGGACTGCCGTGCTGGGTTATGTGAGGAGGCCGGTGTCACTCAGGGATGGGCAAGTCCAGAGGAGGGCAATAAGGAGTAGCCTGCTCCTGTGAAAATATCCCAGACTCACAGGCCATTGGGCTCTGCAGTCCAACACCCCTGTTAATGGACAGACAGTGGCCCCTGTTAATTGCTGCACTACCCCACACCTTGACTCGCTGGCCCCGGTGTTCCTGATGCCCTAAGGCAGACGGCTCACTTCACCTCCCCTTGTAGCTCGTGTCTCTTTGCGTGTCTCACTCTGGCTGCTGTTCTCCTCACGAGCCTCGGGATGATGTGGCTCACGCCCGACCCTCCAGATTTCCCACCACTCTCCGTTGCGTGCCGGCGAGGAACGTCAGCCTTGGGATTTTGAGTTTCTCGCTTTTGGCCGCTCCTCCCTCGCGCTCCCTGTCAAGAGACAAACGCCTCCCCAGCTGCCTCGCTCCGGGCAGGGGCTGCGGCTCGATGGAACCCCGAGCCTTCAGCAGCCGACAGTGCTGGACAGCTCCTCCAGCCGCCCCCTCCCTCCTGCCCACCGGCCTGGCCCTACAATCGCCACCCCCGTCCCGTCCTGTCCCTCCGGTCACTCCTGCCTCTCCTCCGGTGTCCCTCATCCCTGATCTCCGGCCGTTCCGTCTCTCCTTCGGCCCCCCCGTCCCAACCCTCCAGCCACCGCAGCTCTCCAGCCGCCCCCTCCTCTGCCCCATCCTGTCTTGCCCCTCTGCCCACTGTTGGTCCTCCTCCGGTCTCCCCCGTCCCAGATTTTGGCCGTCCCATCCTATCCCTCTGGCCACTTTGGCCACCCCATCCCGTCCCTCCTCCGGCCTCCACCGTCCCGGATCTCCAGCCATCCCACCCCCTCCCGTCCCATCCCTCCTCCGGCCACCATGTCCCCCATCTCCGGCCGTCCCCTCCTGTCCTTCCTCTGGCCGCTCCCATCCCTCCGGCCACCGGTGCTGCAGCTTCCCCTGTGCCTTTTGTCCCGGGAGACCCTCCCTGCCCTCTCCTGCCCGAGCTGCCCTCTGCGAGAGTCTGTTCTGCGACGTGCAGAGAGCCGAGGGGCAGAGGGCAGCCCAGGAGGAGGGGTCTGGAGAGAGGTTCATTGGGAGAAGGGGATGTGTGTGGTGCTGTGGGGGATGAGCTGAGGCTGCCAAGCAGAGAGTTTTCCCCAGGACTAACAAGGATGAAGGGCCAAATCCTGTCCCTGTGCTTAGGAGGGGGCAGCAGCTGTTGGAAGGTGCTTGAAGGTCTGATCTGCCGGCAATATATCCCTCTCTTAGAAGGACTCTTTTTTCCTACTCCTCTTGCTTCCTATCCCCTCAGTACTGTGAATTTCAAGTAAATTTTGGTTCTGGTGGGATTCTGGCACAAGTCTGGGAGAGTTTCCAGTCTCCACTGTCTCCTTCTCAGCAGCCAAGGCCATGGGGTCTTTGGGACACACCAGACCTGAGGAGGGGATCAACGCCCAGAGCCATGCTGTGGCCCTGCTCCTGTCCCAGAGGTCTCAGGCACCTGAAGGAGGGCTGAGGAGAGCCCTTCCTCTCTGCTGCCTGGCCTGGAGTGCCTGTGGTGGCATGGCCAGGGGAGAGGCAGAGCACCACGAAGGGCTGGGTTCATCGCTCAGCTTGGTGACATCCCACTTTTGTCTCCTCACAGGCCAACCCCGCTCCCATTATCGTGAATACAGACTCGCTGGAACAAGGGCTCTCTGTAAGTCTCCCGGTTTCGTTTTGCTTCCTTTTGATCAAGTGGTGCATTTTTCCCTGCTCAGCAATGCAGGAAAGACTTTTCCAGCCCAAGGAGGCCCTGGTGAGGCGGCAGATGAGCCTGATACCTGCACCACGTCCCCACAGCACGTCCCACCCCCAAACCTGGCTGGGGCTGGGTGACACTGCACAGAACCAGGGCTGGCAGCAATGCTGGAGACTCCAAGCACACTGAGGGTACAGGGCAGAAGGCCCTGGCAGAGGAACTGCTGGGCTGGCTGCATTCAGGATTAATCATACAGCCATTTCCTCCAGCTCCCATGCAGGTTGGCTGGGAGGCTCTGCTGGGGCATCCCTTGACTTCCCACACTGCCTCAGCCTCCTTAGGCAGCCCCAGCCCCTCAGGAGGGAGGCAGGGCTCTCTGGGTGCTTTCTGGCATTTCACTCCCAGGTCCTCAGGGCAGCAGGACCCATCAGATGCTGCTCCTCTCCCAGTGAAGGCTGCCAGCAGCTGAGCAGGGCTTGGTGCCTGTGTTTGCAGCCACAGTGCATTTGGCACTCTTGGCAGAGTATAAAGATGATCTTCCTCAGTTTGTTGTAGGGTTTGCACACTGTTCCATCCCTTCCCAGAACATTTGCAAATTATTCCTGCTGGGGGGATGGAGGGAGACCTCTACAGCCCTGGCTGTATGGTTTAATTATGCCTGAATTGAAGCCACCAGGCACTGGTGCATCTCTCAGCGTGGAGGCCCTGGGTCCAACAGCCTTGTATGGCAGAAGAGAGTTGCTGTCTCCAAGGGCTACCGTCCCCAAACCATGGCAAGACAAGGTGTTTGTGGGTCAGAGGTTTCCTCAGTGTGTTGGGCTCCCTGGCTGCAGGACAGGGCTGTGTTGCAGCCTCCTGTCTGCACTCACCCAGCTGGTACCGTTCTACAGGGAACTGGAAAAAGGGCAATGTCTCCTGGAGGGGAGGGACACACCACAAAGCAAGGGAGGAGTGTGCTGTGAGCAGGACAGGGAGGTATTCCTGGATAGAAAGTTTCCCAACCCTGCAGAAGCCAGCAGCAGGGAGCCCACCTGTGGGGCAGCAGACACCTCCTTCCACAGCGGTGGACTCCACTTTCCTGCCCTCCTGGCTCCCTCCCTCTAGTCCAGCTCATTAACTTCACATCCTTCCCTCTCCCTCCGCCTCCATATCCCTGTCCATGCTTTCTTCCTGCTGCAGCTCTTTCTTGCTGAGCTGGATGGGAGCTGCCTTCCTGCAGCCCCTGGGGTGGTTTTGGCCCTGTTTCAGGGGGGTGCTCTGCACCCCTGACAGGCACCAGCATCACTTGGGGATGGCAGAGACCGATCCCATCCATCCAGCCTCAGCAGCATGTGCCAGGAGGGACTGTCCTGCAGGGGTCAAAAGGCCACTGGATTGTGGCTGTCATTTTCTGGGCATTTTCTTCAGCTCCATACCCAGGTGTGTGCCTGGAGGAGCCTGTGCCCAGGGCAGGGGAGACACCTTACTTTGATTCCTCACAGCCTCCAGCCTGGAAACCATCTTGCCTTCTACTTGATATTATACCAGGAGAGAAATGAACCCTGCTCCATTTTTTCCTTCTCTGGGTGCTGGATTCCTCAGGCTCCAGAGAAAACACCCCCCCAAAACCTCAGCAGTTTACAAGGTCAGCAGAGGAGCCACACCAGGAGTTTGCTGCAAACACCGAAATGCCAATTCAGTGAGCGTGTTTTTTCACAAATCCAGAAGCTGAAGCCTGTTGGTACAGTATGTATTTGGAAGGGTTAAAGGCACATCTTCCAGTCTTTAATTACTTAACTATTCAATGCTCTCTGTAATGATAAACAGATGGATGTAGTCTAGTTCCTTCCTGTTCTAGCTCCATTGATTGCATTGGACTAGCTGCTGGGCTGGATTTGGCCCTGACTGTTTACCAAGAAATCTGTTCTGCATTTCAATGTCCCTGTCCACCCACTTCCGTCCCCAAGAGCACCAGCAGTGCCATAGCTCTGGGGTGGCTGGGGCTCAGCTCTGTTGCCTATGGCTTGTGCAGAGCCCGGCACCCCCACAATGTAAAAACACAAATAAACCATTATAAAATGCCTGCAGGATTAAAAGCATCCTTTGAAGGATAAGGATGGGTGCCTGGGGAGATCACCCACGCCAGCCCCAAGGTCATTGCTCACAGTTTCAGCCCCTGTATTTTGCCCAGCAGGTCCGTAGCAGGGAGATGGAGAATCGGAAACAGAGTTCCCATGGCAGATGGGGTCTCTGCGTTTCAGAGGAGCCTGTCTAAAGCTGAAACAACTTCTTGCTGCCAGGCAGTCCCAAAGTGAGCAGGGAAGGTCACTCCAAAGCCCTTGAGGAGCTGATGGTTTCAGAGTCTGGGTCCTTGGAGCCTCCTTTGGTGCCTCATTGCCAAGCAATGAGTTGCCATGACGTGCTCAGTTTCTAAAAGCCAGGTGTTGGGAAGCAAAGTGCTTCCCAGGCCTGATCCCAGCCCACTAGCACCACAGGAGCCCAAGGCTCTGCCACCAATTAACACAGAGGCAGCCTCCTTGTGCAGTGCTGACTCTGCTGTTGGGGTCCCCAGCCGTGGTCTGTGCAGGGTGGGGGACAGCAGAGATGACCACCACACTCCTGTACCATTGAGCAGGGCAAACTTGCCTGTAAGCCTGAAAAAAACAGAAAAAAATATCAAAACTAAACTGACACCCTCATGCTTTGTTCCCAAGCACTGGCAGTGGCACGTTCCACTGCCAGCTCCTGCAGATAGTGTGGCTGCACAGTCCTCCCAGCTGCGGCTGGGGCTGTCACACTGCAAACCCCCTTCCCTCTGCCCATGCTCAGCAGGTTGGTCCTCACAGCCCTCTGGCAAAAGGCTGACCAGAAATAGGGCATTTTTATAGTCTATTCCCAAAGCCAGCACCATGGGCAGGGCACACCAGGGGCTGAGGCCAGAGGTTAGCTGGAATCAAGTCAGTAGGTCTCGGTGCTGTGGCAGGACATGTGGATGTGGGAAGGTGAAGGGAGAGAGCTCTTGACCTATTTTCCCTGGGCCCCCTGCCATGTGCAGGCAGGGAGAGCTCTCCCTCGCCAGCAGTGCCGGTGTCCATGCCAGCAGGGACGTGCCCATTGCTCCTGCTGCTCCCCTTTCCTCTTGCTGGAGCGAGTGTGGGGTATGGCCAGGTGCCCTCCACTGCCAGGTCTGCCTGGCACCACCAAGGGCTGGCTCTCCAGCCTTTGGGCCCTCTTCATTATGTTGATACACATCTGCTCCACCAGCAGGTCCCACTGCCCATCCCCATCGCACCTCAACCACGGGACATGGTCCAGGCTACATCCTGCTCTGAAAGGGGCTGTGGGCAGCATCACCCTTCCTTCAGGTTATTTTCTCCTGCAGCCTGGTGGGCTATTTGGGTTGCATTTGCAGAACCCCATCTTAGTCTTCTAAATTTGGCCTTCTTCTTTTTTATTTAAAAAACAAGCAAATAAGCAAACAGCTTCCCCTCCCACCCCAAATCCTGACTCTCTAGCAAACTGCAGAGCGTGTTCCGTGTGTGCTGGTGCAGTGTTGGCCGGCAGAGCATGCAGACAGCTTGCAGTAGCCCTGGAAGGTGTGTGCTCTTCTGTTTATCAAATGAGTATTAACTCTGCAGCCTTCTGTTGATGATCTAAATGCCGTCATCGGTAACTATTTCCCCGCTGCTCAGAAAGCGAGGGGGAAGCGAAGGCCGGCAAAGTCGCCTCTTCCCGAGCCCTCAGGTGGGCTTGTTGAGTGGGAAGGGCTTGGGATAAAACACCGTTACTCTTTTCCATGAGTAATCAGGTGATTCCTAGGATCAGAATATGCAGGGAGCAGCTAATCACCTGTTCACTCCCTGACACCCCTGCCAGCTCTTGGAGAGCAGGGTGGAGGAGTGTGCTTTCCCTGCCTGGGGGTAATGGAGCCAGGCATCTTCCCACCCAACCAATAGCACTGAGACGACCCCAAACAGGAGCTGGGGAGGGGCACAGGGCACTGGTGAAAAGCAGGAGGAACAACCTGCAGCAGAGCCAGGTCGTGGCAGCTCCAGTGGGTGTCACGGGGAGGTTTTTGCCGTCAGCGAGTGACTGGTATTCGATTTTCCGACACCGGAACGTTTTCTTTGTTGGCCCGTTCCCTTGGTTACGTGGTATATATTAAGTTCTTCATTTGGCTTCCTTATACAATTAACTGGCATTCCGTTGTGTGGATTTGGAAAACATGATCAGTGCTGAAACTCCACGGTCAGGCCTGGCTGACCCCAGAGTGCCCGGCCAGAGCAGGCTGCTCCCAGCAGACACCCCTTCGAGCGAGCGCCGACACCGCTGGCTGTCAGGGAGCGATGCAAAACACTGCTCAGCCTTGGCAGCCCTGAGGTTTGGGGACTGGGGATGCCCCAGGCCCCCCTGCCTGGCAGCGGGGTGCCTGACGGGGTTGAGTGCCGGGGTGTCTGTGCACCCCGGGCGCCTGCCAGCTCGCGCGCTGCTGGCTCTCGCCACGACTCACAGATTGTCAGAGCTTTCTGCAGATCCCCATCCTGTAGGGATGTGTACACTGTTCCTCCGAGGCCGTGGGTGTGCATATGGCTGGCTGTGTGGCAACTGTGCTGAATGCCAAAGCAGAGAGGACAATGTGTGTAGTAGCAGAGGGTGCCAGGAATCTGAGTGGCTGGAAAGCTGGAGAGAGGCGCCGGCGCGCCCCACGCACCGGGATATGCAGGGATGAGCTGAGCCCGAGGGCTGCGGTGAGAGAGGCTGTGAGGGCGGCACGGGCCACTGAGCCGGCTGCACTCAGGATTAGTCAGTGTGGTAGGACCAGAGGAGGGAAAGGCAGCTCATTCGGGAGGGGGAACCTGGGGCAAGGGAAGGAGCACAGCCCAGGGCAGCGCTGTGGCAGAAGGTGGCACTGGCCATGTGTCCCTGTCCCTCTGAGGCTGTCAGGGATCCTGCTCTGGGTTAATCCCACCTCTTCCAGGGCTTTTCTGCAGAGGGATCCTTCCTTAAGAGGGCCAAAGCCTTTCCCAATGTGCTGGGAGGATCTGAGCATTCTGCTGTTGGGGCATCTGAATTTCCCAGCCCTGAACTCTGCCCCGAAATCTTCCCATGGCTGAGAGGCACCAGGCTCAGAGCACATCCAGCCGTCTCGACCTGTGTTCCCTGGAGCCTCCATCCCATCTCTCAGCTCTGGACTGTCCCCAACCTCGGCCTTGAAGCACAGTACCCACCACAGGGTGTGGGATTGCTTTGGCCTCCCAGGGCAGGGGATGAGGATGGTGTGTCACAGGTGGCACAGCCCCATCCCAGATCCTGGCCTGCAGAACTGCTCCTCCACCTGGACCCCTGATTAATGCCAGCTAGAAAAACTGCCTGCTGAGTCTGGGGTTCCATCACCTTTGCCTGGTCAGTCAGAACTGACTGTGTCCTGACACTTGTTTCCCAGAGTGACTCAAATTATGAGAGTTCAGTCCTCTCCAAAAAATCAGCAGTGTGCCCTGGCAGCCAAAAAGCACCATGTCCTGGGGTGCTTCAGGCCCAGCATCACCAGCCTGGTGAGGGAGGGGATTGTCCCGCTCTGCTTTGCACTGGGGCAGCCTCACCTCGAGTGCTGGGGGCAGTTTTGGGCACCACAATGTAAGAAGGATATAAAGCTATTAGAGGGCATCCAGAGGAGCACTACAAAGGTGGTGAAGGGTCTGGAGGGGAAGCCATATGAGGAAAGGATGGGGTCACCTGGCTTGTTCAACCTGAAGAGGAGACTGAGGACAGACCTCATCAGGACCTGCAGCTTCTTCCTGAGGGGAAGCCAAGGGGCAGCACCAATCTCTGCTCTCTGCTGACCAGTGACAGGACCCAAGCCTGAGGCTGTGTCAGAGGAGGTTTGGGTTGGATCTCAGGAAAAGGTTCTTCCCCCAGAGGGTGGTCGGGCACTCAACAGGCTCCCCAGGGCAGTGGGCACAGCGCCAAGGCTGCCAGAGCTCAAGAAGCATTTGGACAACACTCTCAGGCACATGGTGGGATTGTTGGGGCTGCTCTGTGCAGTGCCAAGAGTTGGATTTGATGACCCTTGTGGTTCCCTTCCAACTCGGGATATTCTATGGAGACTGTTTCTGTTGAGTGTAACAGCTCTGGATGCTCCAACAGCCAATTGCTTTGCAAATCTTCCTAAATTTTGGACGTTAGCAGCTGTTTATGGCCTGATCCTGATCACCTGGAATGAAACTCCTGCCTTGTTTTCCTGTGTGTTGCTGCTTATGAGGAAAACAGATTTTTTTTTTTTTGACTGTACATTTGCCATTTTAGAGCCTGCAGTTGCATCTCTTTTGTTTGTATCCATTATGTTTCCAAGAGCTCTGCTTTAAAACTCTTGAGTATGGGAGACCTTTCAGCGTGGGGACCAGTTGGTGGGCAGCACTGAGACAGGCTACACCATTTTTGTATATAAGGGCAGCATGATGTTTTCACCTCTTGCTGTGCCCCACTCTCACACCTTGTTTCCTTTGCACCCAACTAATTTCTCAGAATGAATTATTCCGAATTTTCCGTTAATACAGTCATGCTACTAAAAGATTTTAAAAATATAAGCTGCTAAAGGTGTTTATTATGTTATTATGTACAGACATTTTTTTTCTTTTAAATGGACCGACCCCCTCTCTTCCCTTCCTCCAGCAGTGAATTCCTGAGGTTAATTATATGCTGCGTAACAAAGGTGTTATTTCCTTTTGTGCCTTCGGTTGAGTTCCTTTTCATGGCTGAAGAAATGAGCTGGGAGAATAAAGGCTTTGCACTGAAGTGCATTAAAGTCAGTGGGCTTTGGCTCATACCCAGAAAGAAAAGCAGCACATGGTTTAATTCCAGGGCAGGCTCAAGCAGTCGCATTTAAGGCTTTTTTTCAGCGGTGATGGTGCAGCTTTTTTGGTCGGATTCTTCATATTCAGCTGTCAGAGGGGAAAAATGAATTCCCCAGCGACCAGCACACAGTCGTAACACGCTGTCTCCCTCTCTCCAGATGAATGGCAGTGATGGAATGTTCAAATATGAGGAGATCGTCTTGGAAAGGGTAAGTATACTCTTTACTCACCCGCCAGCAGCCTCTTCCCACTCACCCACCCCCCCAGCACAGCCAGCCCCCCACGCATCCCTGCACCAGCTGATGGGGAGGGGTTGGTCACTGCTCCCTGCTCTCCCTGGAGGTTTTTGCAGGTGTCCCACTCGCTTTGCCTGCCTGGCCCCTGCAGCACGGGGAGAGGTGGGCTTGCTGCTCCCCTCTGCCCCTGCACACCCCTCCAGAAGGCAGGGAGGAGGGCTTCTCCCTTGCCTCCCTCTCTCACACCCCCTCCCACACAAACCATCAGTGCAGCGGGGGAGGCTCTTTGTCATTGCCTTTGCCAGAAAACGGAGGAGCAGGGAGCTCTGCTTGTGCTGGCACTCAAGTAGGTGCACCCCACAGCTGGGCACAGGGGGCTGATGCCACCCCCTGCTGCTCTGGGGTACACACAGCCTTGGGATGCTAAGCTGCAAGAGCAGGTTTTTTAGTAAAACAAACCACAACGGGAGAAGTTTCTGCTGAAGCCTTTTCTTTGCTGGAAACACAGAGGTGACGGCATGCACCACACCATCCACTGCTACAATCAGCTCCCCCCACGTGTGGGGTTTATCCGGGGGAAAGCTGACACCACACGGGGCAGGAAGGGCTTTCCCTTGGCACCCAGGAAGTGGCAGGGATGGAGGGATGGAGAGGGAGTTGGGAAAAGCTGGCCCAAGGTTTACTTACTCCAAGAGACGGGCACAGCCGTGCTGAGGGGATGGCTGGGGTGGGAGGCTGCCCACGGCGCTCCACGGCACACCTTGCCTCCTCCTCAGAGCCGTGCCAGCCTCGCCGCGTGGCCAGCAGCGCAGGGGGAGACGCAGCGCTCATTATTCTGTTCCTCTCTGCCTTTAGTCATCTCCCTCCTTCCCTTGGCTCTGCATCACGGAGGTGGGTGGACGGAAGGTTATCTGGGGCTGCCGCCTCACCCACCGCTTCCCCGGCATGCCTGACGAAACCAGCCCAGGGGATCCTTCCTTTTTGGGCTAAGCAATTCTTGCTCCGGGCCCAAGGCAGAGGCAAAAAGCCTCGTTTTCAGGGATGCTTCAGAGCATCCTCTGTCCTCAGGGCTGAGGGAACAAGGGGAGAGCTGGCAGGACCACACAGAGAGGCCCCCATTGATTCCCCACACTCATTGATGCCCTCGTTTTAAAGCCTCGGGCAGCAATTCCCTCTCCAATTCCAGGGTGAGAACATTTCAGTGATTAGCAGCCAGGGTCAGCATGGACCACACCCAGGTCCTTTCCCTTCAGCTTGCCCCCAGTGGGATCCAACAACCCTGTCTTAATGCAAGAGAAGCACCCTGGTGCCTGCAGGTGAGGCTGTCCCCTTGCTGGGAAGTTCGGCCTCAGTGTACCCCAGAATTGCTGGTCTGTCACTGTTATTAATCCTTGTCTTTGTTGTAAATACAAGGGTAAATGCAGCAGCATTTTGGGGGCAATAATTGAGGAAACAGCATCTGCACAGGGACACAGCTTTGGGTTTACCCACCATACATGTGTCCCCCTGTGTCTGCATCAACCCTGATGCCAGCTAAGAAATCCCTTGAACTGCATGTTGAGATTTATCAAAATAAAAATGAACACCTCCCAGATGATTTCCAGGTTTTGTGGCACAACAAATGGCTGGAGATCATTTTGCAGCCTCACCCTGCTGTGGCCAGGCTGAGTCCCCGTGACAGTAAGGAGCTTTTCTGTGTTGCACACAGGGTAACCAGAATCCATCTTAGAGGAAAGAGAGCAGCCCCAGACCCTTTACTGCTGAGTGCCTCCTTGTCACGTGCCAGCCAAATTCTAGCTGATCGGAAAGTGTCCAGGAGAGTTGCACAGTGGTGGGTCCTGGTGCTGGTGTCATGAGTGTCACTCTGTGGGAGCAGAGACCTCTGCATCACCGCAGGAGCTGATGCTGGGCCCAGATTGCTGGGGAGAAGTGCAAGCCCCAGCTGGGTGTTGCTGCTAAGTGAGCTGCAGTGGGGCCCTCCTGGTCACAGCTCCCCTGGAAGGGCGGAGAACCCCATCATCCAACACCGAGCACTGAGGCTGTGGGCAGCCAGGGGAGAGCTTGGCCTGAGACCCACTTGTGTATGAGAGGCAGGCATGATAGTATGTGACTAAGTGTCAGCTCTTCCGCATGAGAAAACAAGACTAGGAGCCATCTGATTTTCAAGGCAGAGCAAAAAAAGCAGGAATTGTCCACTTGCATCAAGCACAGATCTGGAAGCAACGCCTGTGAGTGTGTCGCTAATGAGGATCCTGCAAGTGGGAGAGGCGGCACAGGGCCACAGCCACTCAGTCCTGAGATGCTGCAGGAATGGGCTGGAGATAAGCTGCGGCCCCTGCGTTCCCCCCAGTCCTGCTACAGAAGGAGAAGCTCAAGCGATGCTCCAAGCATGTCTGTGAGGAAGAGGAGGCGTAAACTGGAGACCCCACTCCATCCTGATAGCCACCTCCACCCAATCCTGAAAAATCTTGGCACCGGCATCGCTGGCCCCCCAGCTTGGCTCTGTGCCAGGGCTACATCCCAGGGGTGCAGGGAGGCAGTGCAGGGTGGGATGCTGGTGACTGGCACAATCCCCGCTGGTCTGTGCGGGCTGCGGCGTCGGTGTCTCCTCCTGGGGAGCAGCCAGCGAGGGGAGGTTTTCTCCGCCAAGGACCACCTCCTCTTCCCCCAGCTTCCCGCCTGCCTCAGAGTCTCTCCGTGGAGACGCGGTGGTGAGGGAGGTCCTCGGCGGCTCCCACTCTCCCACTCCATCTGTTCAGCGCTCCACTCTCTGCGCCGAGCGCTCGGCTGATGAACGCTGGCCTCTCCTCCAGCCGAACATCCCTCTGCCCCCTGGGCCAGCCACCCTGGGGTGGGACGGATGCTCCCAGGGCTCCCGCGCCCCAGATGGTCCCGCAGCTGAGGGGAACCATCCCGGGAGGGCCGGCAGCGAGTGGTTGCCCATGGGGGAAAGACGCGGCGTTTGATTTCCCGCAGGGTAACTCCGGCCTCGGCTTCAGCATAGCGGGAGGAATCGACAACCCCCATGTCCCGGATGACCCGGGTATCTTCATCACCAAGATCATCCCCGGGGGAGCGGCAGCCATGGATGGCCGTCTAGGGTGAGTACAGGGCTGGGAGAGCAGCTCCAGCAGGGTGTCACCCAGGATCTCAGCACAGACCCCCTAGTCCCCTTCCCTGCCACGGGCCCTGGCCCCCCCCATGTCTCTTCCCCACAGCTGGATCCTCTTGGTGCAGGGATGCCCCTCGATCCAGGCCATCAGCCTCTTGTCCGTAGCCACCCCTCCTCCCCTCCCCGTGCGAGGTTCTTGCTCCCATCCTTCCAGCCACAGCCCAGGGCGGGATCCAGCCTTTCCTCTCATATCCCATCTCCAACAGGGCTGCACCGTGGGGACCAACCCCACTGCCTCCTGCTTTGGGAGGGACCTTGCTTTCACCCCAGCAGGGCAAGGATCTGGCCAGTTTGAGCAGCTTCCCTTTGTGTGTCTGGAGGAGGGTGGCAGATGTAGCCAGAGGAGGGTGGCACGGGCTGGTGGTTCCCCAGGAGAGCTCAGGGCCACGCTGTGCCCACAGGGTGAACGACTGCGTGCTGCGGGTGAATGACGTGGACGTGTCCGAGGTTGTGCACAGCAAAGCCGTGGAGGCCCTGAAGGAAGCGGGCCCCGTGGTGCGGCTCGTGGTGCGGCGCCGGCAGCCCCCGCCAGAGACCATCATGGAGGTTAACCTGATGAAGGGCCCCAAAGGTGAACCCCTCACTCTGCTCGCTTGACCGGGGTGCCCTACAGGAGGGTGTGGGGTGAGCCCTCGGTGCGAGATGCCATGAGATGCAGGGCAGCACCGTGGGGCACGTGGGATGCAAGGTGGCACTGCCGCAGTGCAGGATGCTGCGGGGTGGCCCAGCAGCGTGGGGTGCTGTGGGGCACAGGGTATGGGAAAGACCCACAGGGCAGTGAGTGGTGGCTGGGCTGGCTCCAGGCAGCTGCAGGGTGGCCCATTGCCTGCTGGGTTTGGGACGGGGTGGGAAGTCCGGTGAGGCAGAGGGACCGTGTGCCAGCCTGGGATTCTGTCCATCTGTGTGTCCCTCACCTGCCTTCTCGCTCCTCCTCAGGCCTGGGGTTCAGCATTGCAGGGGGCATCGGGAACCAGCACATCCCTGGGGACAACAGCATCTACATCACCAAGATCATCGAGGGAGGTGCTGCCCAAAAGGACGGGCGCCTGCAGATCGGGGACCGGCTGCTTGCGGTAAGCCCCGCGGCCACAGCCAGCCATGAGGTGGTGCTGGGCAGGCTTCACCATGCTGCAGTGTTGATCCTGAACTTCAGCACCCCTCGTGTCAGCAGCATCGTGCCGCTATCTTCCTTTGGCTCCTTCTGGGATGGTGCTGTGGGAGGGGCAGGTGCAGCACTGGCTGCAGGCAGGAGAGCCAAACCCAAAGAGATGTGACCCTATCTTTGGAGCAGCACCTGCCTGCTCCCCTCCCGCAGCACTGCATTGGTCCCTGCCCTCCCGCTCAGCCACGTCACTCAGCCCTTTCCCTCCGGCAGGTGAACAACACAAACCTGCAGGACGTGCGGCACGAGGAGGCAGTGGCTGCCCTGAAGAACACCTCTGACATGGTGTACCTGAAAGTGGCCAAGCCCGGCAACATCCACCTCAACGACATGTACGCGCCCCCCGACTACGCCAGCAGTACGTACGCACCGGGCGCTGGCACGGGGTGTGCTGGGGGGAACGGGGTGTGCTGGGGGACAAGTAATGCTGGGCTGGTCTGCGTGTCCTCTCTGCGCATGGATTTCTCCTCCTGATGACCTTCTCCTCCCCTGCAGCCTTCTCAGCCTTGGCTGACAACCACATAAGCCATAACTCCAGTCTGGGCTACCTGGGCAGCGTTGAGAGCAAGCCTGCCTATCCCGTCCCAACCCAGGTGACTCCAGCCCGGTACTCGCCTATTCCTCGGCACATGATCGGAGACGATGACTTCACCAGGTGAGTACGAGGCATGAGCATCCACTAATCCCTGATCCTTCTCCTTCCCTCTCTTTGGATGGCTTGACCTTGTCCCCAGTGCTGGTGCAGAGCCTCAACCAAAAGCCTGTAGGTGCGTGGTGCAAAGCTTTAGGCCCCCATAATGTGCTCCGTGATCCCCTGCCTGCTGTATCAACCCCTGGCTCGCTGCATCCACTCCCTCTCCATTCCCTCTCCTGTTCTTTCACGAGCTTTACCCATCTGCATTCCTTCTTAGCTTTACCATACCTGCAACACAAGGTGTTCCCTGCCCTTACAGTGCCAGCAGTGCCACGGGCTCCCAGGATGTCCCCAAGTGGAGATGTGCTGGGGATGAAGGGTTGGGGGGGCCACAGCCTTGCAAACAAGTGGGACTCCTCCTCCCACACAACTTGAGACTGGCATCCAAACCATCTGCACACAGGTACCTTTTCAACAGCTGCCAGCCCCAGGCTTGCCAGCCCCCTGCCCAGCCCTGCCACACCCCCCTTAGCCCCACTAGAATCATTTATGCAGGTTTGTTTCCAGAAGGCAGGAAATAAAGAGGAGCACAAAGAAGACATTGCTCTGAGCCTAAATGCGGTATAAAATTTCTTCAAAGCCTCAAGCTGAGAATGAGGGAGCGAGATCTGGCAGGTCCTGCTCTGCTTGCCCAGGCTTACAGCTTTCACTCTTCTTGCCGCAGCCTCAGGGCCAGTGCTGAGCTCTGGATTTGGTATCCCCAGGGCCAGGACTGTAGGCTTAGGCTGTTTTCTAAGGACCAACACTCAAGTTGGGCTTAGGGCTGGCTCTGCATCTGGAACAAGGTCACAGGCTGGTTTTGGGGTTGTGTTCACAGTGGAAGATAGCTTTGTCTGGGATTCTCCCATTCTGCATGTCAGTGTTGGATGCTGGAGTGGGGAGACCCTGACTTTCCATCCGCTGTCAGGTCTGCTGTCCTCCTGGAGAGTGGCTGGACCTTTGTCACAGGGATTTCTCTTTTCTTGGTGCTCAGCCACAGCTGGGTGCCTCTGCACGCCATGACCTGTGCAGCCCTGGCTTCTATCCACACCTCATCTCTCCCACCTGGTCTTGGCACCAATGATTCCAGTTCTACAGCCTGTTTCTGGTGCTGCATCCTCACCAGGTGTAGCAGCTCCTGTGCTGTCAGGGCACTGGGGGATGATGCCGCAGGCGGGAGCGGTGCTTTCTGCCATTACATTGCACTACAGAAGGGACTGAGTCCCAGCACTTGGAACACACAACAGGGACGCTGATCCCACCAGGGTGTCCCTTCTTACATGTGCCAACATTCTTATGGCTTAGAGAGTGGAGAGAACAGCCCAGCCTAGGCTGGACATAGCCAGTGACAATGGCACAGGGATGTCGATGCAGTGGCTCAGCAGTGGCTTGGCAGTGGCAATGGCACGGTGATGGCTCAGCAGTGGCACAGTGGTGGTTCCCTATGGCTTGGCAGTGGCAATGGCACAGTGATGGCTCAGCAGTGGCACAGTGGTGGTTCCCTGTGGCTTGGCAGTGGCAATGGCACGGTGATGGCTCAGCAGTGGCCCCGGTGCAGCACGTGCTGGTGGCCACTAGAGGATGGTGCTGCCTTGTGGAGGGCCACACTGCAGACAGGCTGGCACCACTGGACCATTGTGCCCAGCCACAGCTCCCTCCCTCCATAGATTCACAGCCCGTGGTGGGCTCAGCACCTCCTTCATCCACCCCTGGACAGTGCTGAAAGCCTCATGTGCATCACTGACCCTGCAGGACACCATCACTGAGGGTCTGTTGGCTGTGAGGTACCTGTCTGGGGTTTCATTTCCTCTCTTTGTTGCTGTAGTATCTCTCTACCTTCCATCAAAGTGTCTGGTCCTCATGGGTGCTGGACATGCTTCCCCTCAGACTGAACTGGGGTGGTGGTTCCTGCACGTTGCTTGGGAAGCAGCAAAACCCAAGGAGCAGAGCACGTTCATCTCCTGGTTGGAAGCAGTGTTTGCAGACCCAGAAATCTGACCTAGTTCTTCCCCTGGAAGAACTCTAGCCCTCGGGACAGCTTTGCAGCAGAGGGACCGATAGCTGCAGCCCTCCCTGACCCCCCTCAACTGCCCCTGAGCCAAGCATTGGTGGCTTCTTGAGGATGTGGGTTGAGCATCTTTTGACTCCAGTGATGTTTCCAGAGTGTTTCCCTGGTCTCCTCCTGGGGAAGCCACTGGCCCAGCAGTTGTTGCAAGGCAGAGACGGGCATTGTGGGGAAGCCATTGCACAGAGAATTCAGAATGTTTCTGCCCCTTGTGCCTCCCAGCAGTGCTGCCAGCAGAGCCTGCCACACCTCAGTGTTCACCATCAGTGTCTCATCATCCATCCATCCTACAAGGGACAGCCAGCACTGTCCCCTTCCAGGCAGCAGTGAGGCCACAGGAGCGAGTGTGACCAGAGACAGGGGAGGGACCAGGATGCTGTGCCTGATGGGAGGCAGGGGGACAAAGAGGAGCAGCTGGAGGAGCTGGGAGAGTTGGGCTGTGCTGAGCCCAGGGTCTGGGCAGAGCAGGAGTTCAGCAAGACCTTCTCACAAGGCATCCTGCACTTCTGTCTATCTGTTTCCTGCTCCTATTGGTCCTTAAGAGATGCTTGCCTGGAGCTAAGTGACAATCAGCCCATCAGGACTCCTCCCCAGGGAATGATGGTGGGAGACTTTTCCTGGGGTGCTGGCACCTGTCCCTGGAGGTAAATCCTGTCACCTGCATCCATTAAAGCACTAAAACCTTCCCCCATCTGCCCAAGTGATGGCAGTGATGCTCCAGCCTGGCCCGAGGGGCTGAAGAAGACTCCAGCCCCACCCATGTGCTGGGAGTCCAGACACATACAAGCCTGTCACCAGCTTTGCTGCTCCTCACCCTGATGTCTCCCTGTCCCTTATCTGTGCTTTCAGGGAGCCCCGGAAAATCATCCTGCACAAAGGCTCCACTGGCCTGGGCTTCAACATTGTTGGAGGGGAAGACGGCGAGGGGATCTTTGTGTCCTTCATCCTGGCTGGAGGCCCTGCTGACCTCAGCGGGGAGCTGCGGAGGGGGGACCGCATCCTCTCGGTGAGTAGATGGGGCACCCACTGCCCCTCTATGGCCTCCCCTAGCCCCGGGAGGACACCTGTCCCCTGCCACCCCAACCAGACACAGCTCCACGGGATGCACCCCCGATGCGGGTGTGGACACGGCTGCGGAGGGGGCAGCCCTGAAGCCCGGGAGGGCCAGGGGCAGGTACCGGGTATGTCGGTACTAGCGATGCCAGTACTGGAAGTGCCAGTACTGGGACACGGTGGCAGCGAGATGAGGCACTGAGAGTATGGGTGCCACGGGTACCGGTACAGGAGCGGGGCAGCGCGACACAGGGCACACCCCGCCGGTCCAGTCCCCTCCAGCGGAGCCGCTCTGTTTCCCCCGCAGGTGAACGGCGTGAATCTCCGCAACGCCACCCACGAGCAGGCGGCGGCGGCGCTGAAGCGGGCGGGGCAGACGGTGACCATCATCGCGCAGTACCGGCCCGAAGGTACCGCCGCGGGGCAACCGGGAACGGAACCGGGAACGGAACCGGGAACGGAGACCGGGGCGGGGCGGGGCAGAGGGCGGGGCATGCGGCTGAAGGGGCGTGGCGTGGCCATCAGGGGGCGGGGCGGCCGCTCGCGCGCGGGCCGAGGGGCCGGGGCAGGGGGCGGCGGGCGGGGCGCCGATTGGCGCGGGGCGGGGCCCGCGGGCGGGGCGGGCGCCCATTGGCCGGCGCGGCGGGAGGGGGGCGTGGCCACGGCGTCCCGCCGGCCGTGCCTGCGCGGCTTTGTGTGAGGGCCGGGCGGGAGCGGGGTCGGGGTCGCTCCCTCCCCGCCGCCAGGTGAGCGACCCCCGCCGCCCCCGGGCTGGGCCGCCCCTTCCCGGCACCGGCACCGCCGACGGGCTCGGCGGGACGGGCTTCTCCGCGAGGGAGGAGGGAGAGCTCTGCGCGCCCGAGGGCGTCGCCGCGAGGCCCGGCGCCGTGGGGTCCGGCGGGCCTGGCTGGGGCACGCCGCGGTCGGGGAGGTGCCTTGGGGGTCCATCGTGCTGGGGGCGCGCGGGCGGGGCTGGGTTGGGGCTCGCCCCCTCCTCCGAGCATCGCACCTGCGGTGAGCGCCGGGCTCCGGTTCCCTGGGCGGCGCGGGGCGGGTGGTCCCGCGGGGGCTCCCGGTGGCAGCGGGAAGGGAGGGACGGGCAGCTGCCTGTCCGAACCCTCCCGGGACGGCAGCGCTGGAGAGCAGCCCTTTGGGCTGGGAGGGCGAGCGCTGGGAGGATCCTCCCCCACCCAGCGAGGGGCCAAGGGATGCTCCCGGGGCTGTGCCGCGTCCCGACCGGCGCCGTGCGTGTGCCGGGATGCAACCATTCCTGTCCCTTGGAAAAGCTGTCTCTCCTGTGCCTCGCTGGCTTCCCCCGCCAGCGGTTCTGGTCCTCTCCAACGAGGCCAGTGTGCCACCCCTTTGTCTTGTGCCTCCTCAGAGGCATCGCTGGGCAGTGTCCTGCTGGTCCCTGTCCCTGCTGTCCTGCTCTGTCCCGTGGCAGAGGCCACTGGGGCGTGGAGTCATTAGTGCTGCTCAGGGCTGTGCTGTGGGTGTGGGGTTTGTTTGTTTTGGCTTTTTCTTTTTTTTTTTCTTTCTTTCTTTCTTTCCAGGAAGCACTTAATGTTCTTGTATTTCTGGCTCCCTTTGCCACTTGAGATTTGGCAAAGACACCAACCAAGAGTGGTTCTTAAATGTCAAACGGGACGAAATGTTTTGAAACCCCTTTAGACCAAGGCGGAAATGTCAGTGCTGTGTAGCTGGTGGCTTTCTGGGTCCGGGATGGCTCCTGGCATGTGTGGGCAGCAGCACCCGGCACACAGGCTGCAGCCATCCCAGAAGGCAGCGTTGGTGCCGTGGAATACGGGCTTTTGTATCTTGGAAGTTGCTCTGGTGCTCCAGAGGCTTGGAGGCCTGGGAGCCGAGGAGAAAGGTCTCCCGGGTGTGGGTGAGGCTGAGCTTCCTCAAGGGGACGTGTGGTCCCCACTGTTTGCCTTTTCTAGGCTCATCACGGCCGTGGGAAGAGCGGGAGGGCTGGATTGTAGGATGCCCAAAGGAGGAGATGCTGGTGGAAAGGGGATTTGAGAAGTTTCCCCCTGTTAGCAGGGGCAGAGGATGGCACCTGTCTCTCGTACCTGAGGGTGGGTAGGGCTTGCCTTGGGCTGCTGGGTGAGAGCAGATGTGCTCTGTGTCTGACCTTGTGCAGGTCTCAGGGGGCAAGGGACCCTCTCTGTGGTGTCCTGTCCAGCAGGGAAAAGAAGCAAAGACCAAACCAAGGAAGGTTAGAAGGAGGAGCTGCTGTCCTGCCTTTCTCCTGTGCACCTGGTGCAGTGCCTTTGACCACTGCTGCATGCCATCGAGGAGGAGGAGTGATGGTTCCTCTGAGTTTTTATGAGGTCCCTTCCCTCTCAGCACTTTTCCTCCTGACCTTTGCCTGCTGCTATTGCCAGCACTTGGGTTTGGCAATTACTCTTCCTGCAACAAAACCTTGGTATTCCTCACCTGGAAATACAAAACCTCACGTGATGGCGTCTCTCTGAGCTGGCTGCTCAAAGGGAAGTGGCGGGGCTGTGCAATGACTTCTAAAAGCTTCCAAGCTTTTCCCAGAAGGGCTGTGCTCCCTTCTGCTCGCCTGGGCCTGCGGAGGGAGGTGTCTGTACTTTAACCCAGCACTAAAATGCCAGAGTGAAGCTGTGGGTAATTTTTGCAGGTGGCTGGGCTGAAGCCTGTGGCTGAGCATCTCTGGGCTCTGCTGACTGCCCAGCAGAGCCTGCCTGGGCCTGGGCAGGAGGGTTTGGCTACTGGAGAGAGCAGGGCACGTGTGCATGCAGGGCTTTATGCACGCTCAGGCGTTTCTTTCCAGCGCAGCTCCCCTCTCCACCAGCACCTTCTCCTCTGTGCTGTCTCCTGGTGCCCAGAAATCAGCTGCAGCCCCACTGCTTTGTTGGCTCTGCTGGGCACATTTGCGGGTGTGTCACGCACGTGTGCTGGTTCTGGGGGTCCTTAGGGCAGGCGGGTGATCCCTGAGAATGGTCTGCAGGGTTGTGTTCTGCTCCCAGCACCGACCTCACCCCACGGAACAGAATCAGGCCCAGCTCCAGGGGCACCCACACCCTGGGAAGAGCAGAGCAGCAGGAGGGTAGAGCGGTGTTTTTATCGAGCTGCTGGGTGAGGAGAGCAAACATCCCGTCGTGGTGGCACTGGCGGCAGGAGGGGCCGGGTCCCCTGTCACACACTTCTCAGTCTTGATAAGCGTGTCCTGACCGTGTTGAACAACCAAAGCTGAGGAGCAAAGGCAGGAGCAGTGCTTGCTGGGGGTGATCTGCTGGGAGTTGTCTCACACACTGTTCTGACATGCCGTGAAGAGGGAGCTGGTGGCAGCTGGGAGCATCCCATGCCCTATCCTGGGGTAACCTTGCCTCCTGTGCTCTGGGAGGGGGGTGATGTGTTTGCTTTGGGGCTACTGCTTCTCTACTCTGTGCCCTCCTGCAGTCAGGGCATGTGTGGGTTGGTGTCTCATTGGAGACCCTTCCTAGGGCAGGATTGTATTCACTTACCAGAGGGCAAAGCCAGAGCAGCCCCTGTGTCCTTCTTCAGTTTGCCACAACCAGCCTGCTTTGTGCTTCTTGTCATGCCAGTGGGCTTTTCCCACCTAAGGAGTTTGGCCACTCCAGCAAAATTTTGAAAGTCCCTTTCCATGTAATGCCCCAGCCAAGGTGGGGGTGCTTGAGAGCTCTGCCCTTAGGCTGCATGCAGGGGATGCAAATGCAGGAGCTGGCAGGACAGTTACACCCCAAAGTTGCCCTCCTGACACCCCCACCCTGCTGCCAGTGCCTCCTTTTGCCCTGTGTTTTCTGCCCAATCCTGCATCTTCCACACCAGGTTTCCCATGGAAAAGAGTGTCCCAGGAGGGATGTGGGACTGTGCAGTGGGAGCAGTGGTCCCTTAGGTGTGGGGTGTGCAGAAAATCTGTGCCCCCAGCAGGATTTGGGATGACTCAGCTGGGGACAGGGGTTGTAGTGGTGCTTTCTGGGGGAAATAGCCCTTCTGTACCAAAGAGGCTTTATGAAGCGGCTGTACCCGCTTCTGAGGGATGTTCCTCTGGGATATAGGAGCTTTTGAGCACCCAGGGGCAGAATGAGCTGTGTGGGGTGAGAGGTGTGGAGTGGGATGAAGCTCACTTCCCTCTGCTGGGAGCTCTGTAAAACCCTGGTGCTGCTTTGGTGTCAGAATTCAGTTTTCTTATCAAATAAGCCTTGCCCATGCCTTGCTCCTTGTGTGTTTTCCTCTGCCGGCAGGAAGGCAGGTGGGGCCGTGGGTGCCCCTCGGTGTGGGGCAGCTGGGGGTCTGGTGATCTCCACATTAAGCAGCTGTCCCTGCCTGGTGTTGCAGCACCTTTGGATGTTGTGTGGCAGGGGAAGGGGCTGCTTGGGGAGTTTCTGTGTGCCACGTGGCAGTCTTTGCGTATCTGGCCTTTTTTTTTTTTTTTTTCTCAGTCTTTAAGTAAAAATGCATCTTTGGCAACTTGGGTGCAGGACAGGGATGCCCAGGTGTGTCCAGATGGAGAGTCAGGAAATGCCAAGCTGCAGCTGCATCATCCCACCCTTCATTTGTCTGCACCAAGAGTCTACAGGAGAAGGGCTGGTTCCCAAACACAGCCCACAGAGCATTTCTTAGCAGTGTTGCTGCTCCCCCTCAGTGATGCAGCTCGGCCAGGGCTCCTCTCTGCAGCGAGCTCTTGCCTCCACAGCTGAGCTGCTGCATTCCCCTCCACCAAATTAAAACCCAAACCGCCTCTAAGCTGCTGGGTTGTGGACTTTGAGGCTTTCTAGGGAAGTCTTCAGCAGAGGTGAGGCTGGTCCTCTCTCACCTGTAACTGCAGGATATGCCCAGGGGACAAAATCAAGGGTAGGAGGGCACATCTGATGGGGTTAGCCGTGGCAGGGCCAGCAGCTTTCCTAGTGCTGCGGTTGTTTGTCACCTGGCAAACTTTCCTGGTGCAGCCCTGGGTAGGGAGGCCGGTGCCTCCACCCTCTGTGTGTCTGCCCGACCTTTACACCCGGCTGAAGGTCGGGCTGGCGCGGGGCGGGTGCTGGGGTGGCGGCACCTCCTGCCCAGCCTCCTGGCAGGGAGGTGCCAGCAGCTTCTGGAGGGTCCCCCAGCTCTTCCTGCAGGTCTCTGCCGCTGGGATGTAGGAGCAAAAGGTGAATTCCTCCGCCCTGCTCCCCTTCCAAGGGCGCGGGCTGTGTTTTGCCTCCCCTTCCCCACACCTACTGGGGAGAGGGGCTCTGCTGCCAAAGTGGTAGGTGGGGACCCCCTCCAGTTTCTGCGGTTGTGCTTTGCTGCTCCAACCGGTGGTGATGGTCTCCTGGAGGGGCTCACACTCTCTCTGCCTGTTTTGAACTGCTCTGTAGGCCATCAGCTTGCTGAGCCCTGCCGAGCCGTTCCCTCGTGGAGCTGCAGTTCAGTCGCGTGGAGGTCTGGCGGCCCTTGCCCGAGCTGCCTGTCTGGGGTGGGTTGGGAGCAGCTGGTACCCTGCCTGTTCCAGGTGCCCTTCTTGGATGCCTGCAGAGTGCTGTAACCTCTTTAGCTTTGCCCTCCCTCGTGTGCAGGGACGGACGGGCTCACGGGCAAGGTGCCTCATGGACAGGCCTCTCTTGGTGCTCGGGGTGGGGGCAGCTCTGCCTGCACTGACCAGCCCTCTCTCTCCCCACAGAGTACAGCCGCTTCGAGTCCAAGATCCACGACCTGAGGGAGCAGATGATGAACAGCAGCATGAGCTCCGGCTCTGGCTCGCTCCGGACAAGCGAGAAGAGATCCCTCTACGTCAGGTAAGGCTCAGCATCCCCTTTTCCCTTGCTCCAGTGGGAGGCAGATGGGATGGTGTGTCCCCACAGGGTGGGATGCAGGGAGGGATGGCTCAGCATGGGCTGTGCAGCACCTCTGAGCACAGTGTTTCAGAGGAGAGGGGAGCGAGTGCCGTAGAAACACCACGAAGCCCGGAGGGTGCAGCTGGGAGAGTGGTGCTTTTGCACTTTTGGCACAGACAGAGCCGTTGCCAAGGCTGGGTGTTCTGCACTTGAGTGTCTCTTCCAAGGGCTGCTCCATTTTGGAGAGTGCTGGTGTCTCTACAGAGCCCAGAGTGGCTGCTGGTCATGCCCAACCCACTGAGGGCCACGGGAGAACAGGGAAATAAGGGGCACCCAGCCTTGCTTCTGCCCCAGGCAGCTCGTGGCAGCTTTCAGGGCGCTCTGCTCAAACCACTCCCAGCTAACAGGCTTCTCCATGTCTCCTCCTGCCATTCCTGTGGCAGGATCTGGCTGGATGGGAGATGAGCTCTTAGGAGGATTATTGCTCTGAGCCCTCGATGCACTTTTGGTCTGGAGCCAGGCATGGGGCAGGCAGGGGTTAAACAGCCATGCAGCAATAACTGCTGTGAGTCCTGTGCAGCCAGTACAGCCCTTGCTTGCTGCCTGCCTCCTGGCACCTCATGCCTGCCACAGTGCCAGTGGGGTGACGGCTAATGAGTAATTTTAACTTGGTAATTAAAATAATCCTGTAAATCCTCACCCTGCACAGCCTGTTGCAGGTGGGGCTGGCAGGAGCAGGGCACGCTTCTTCCTGCGAGGAGGATGGCAAGGGCTGAGGCTGCACAAGCCTCAGTCTGCATCTCACAGCTGCTCTGTGCAGGGGGTCTTCAGGCATGGTGGACATGATGCAAGCCTGGCCTGGCAGGAGGGGATTGCTGCAGCTCTGGGTTCCTGCAGTTCACACCTTCCCACAAGTCTGTGCAGGCAGTTTGCTTGATTTAGTATCTCGGAGCTTCCTGGGGGTGTGTGACAACTGGACACTGTGTTGAATAAACATCATCTTGCTAGTCCTGCCCTCATTCCCCCGCTGTCCTGTGGACACCCTCATGTGTGGGGGAGGGTTTAGGCTGGGTCCAGCTTGAGTTGAGCCTGTTCCCTGCCTGGAAAGGCGCTGTATGTATCGAGGTATTCCTGTGAACCAGAGAGCTGTCTGTTGCTTCCACGCTGCTCGTAGCATCTCTTATCTCTTGGTGCATGTCTCTGGGTGGCTTTGGAGGCCTCCGCAGTGCTGTGTCCCCTCACACATACCCAGTGGAGCGGGGCAGTGCCTTGCTGAGAGGGTATCCCAGGGGAGAGCTTTCTCCCAGCGTGGCCCTTCCCAACAGGCTCCAGCTCTGGTCGACACACACCCTGCAGATGTGCTTGCGAGAACTGCCGGGTGCCCAGGCTGCCCCAGCCCTTCTGGGCGGGGTAGTTTCAAGCAGAGTTTACCCGAAACCAGCCGAGCTGCTGTGCTGTGGACAGGACATCAATTACAGGACTTGCTGCCCAACTGCTTGAGTCAGCCGCATGGGGCTGCATCGCATCCTGAGTGCTGTCAGCAGGCTGGAGCTGATTTTGGGGGTGCTGGAGCTGCAGCTGTGCGGCAGGGGCAAGGCAGGTTCTCATTGTGCCTGTCACCTGCCTGCTCTGCTGCAGGGCAAAGTCTGCCAGCACTGGGGCTGTGCCGGGTGGGGATGGAGGTCAGGCAGGCGTTGTGCCTGGGCACCGTGAGGAGGCCATGGGAGTCCTTGGCAGTGCTTCCCTCCCCTCCAGGCAAACCATCTGCTCTCCTGGCTGTTTGTGCTGGGAGCTGGCCTGGGGGCAGAGCAGGGCAGACCGTGCTGCCGTCTGGCCCCTTCGCCCTGGGGAGCACCCAGACGTGAGGGGTCCTGGGTGCCAGCACAGCCAAAGGCTGGTCTGCAGGTGCATCGTGGCTTAAGGAGGCAAATGCCACATGTGCCAGCTTTGCAGGTGTCCAGCCCTTGCACAGGTCCTGCTCTGCCTGTCCTGGGATGCTGGTGGTGGCTGCTGTGGGAGGAGCCACGGGCTCAGTGCTGCTCTGCAGGGCAGGGTGCAGGGAGTGGGCAGGGCTTCCCTGGGTTTGGGAACCGGCCTGACCAGTTCCCTGGGGCCTTGGCCGGCGGCACAGGCCTCACAGCAGCCTGCCAGCCGCATGCAGCCTTATCTTTTGGCCAGGAGCTGCCTGCAAGGCTTATTTACCTCCAGCCAAAGCACCCGTTGGTGCTTTGCTGCCGGCTCCAGTGAACTGACCCCGTGAATGAATGAATCTGGATGCATAGGACACACTGGGTCTTGTCCCAGAGAGCTCTCCCCTCTTCTCATCCCAAGTGACCCAAAAGGTTTCATAGTCCAGCACTCCCCTGGCTGCCATCCCAGCTCTGCTGCTCTGTGGGGACGTGCCACATGGTCCCTCAGCCCTTCCATTTACTGTGTGCTTTTAGACACCCTTCAGAGTCTCCCCAGCAGAAGGGGGTAATGAGCAGAGCAGATGACTCTCCTGCTTGAGGAAGGCTCGTTAGTGCCAGGATTAAACCAGCAGTGAGCCAGTGTTTGCAGTGCCTGGGCTCACGTTGGTTGGGGGGGGGGGCGAGTAGGGCCAGTGTCCCAGGAGAAAACACAGGGGTTGTGCTGCCAGCAGTGGCAATTTTAGAGACTCTTCCCTTGGTCTGGGTTGTTGCAAAGTTGATGTGTCAAAGCGGACACGGTTTGAGAGCTGACATAGTAAAATGAGTTGCACATGAGGTCACTGAGAGCAGCTAAAGGGTACAGGCTGCAGTGCTGTGTGCGAGTAGTGTGTGCAGGAAGAGTAGTGCTCTTCTAGTAGGGAAAAAAAAATCTTTTCTGTAGCTGGTTAGTTTAATATAGAAGATAATTTTAAACTAAATAAACTATTCACAGGGGAGGTGTTTAGGAGACGGAAGAGAATCAGCTGTAGAAGCAGATATGTACACCCTCAGATGCATTCCTAATTCACAGGCTCTGTACTAACTTACCCCTGTACATAAAGTATGTGCCCAAAGCCACAGTGGTCTGACAGTCTCTGCCTGTGCAACCATCAGCAGTGGGGTCTGATGTTCCCCATCTTGCTCCTTGACACCACAGCCACAGAGAGGGGAGCAGCCTTGCTGCTGAGAGCCTCACCTGCTCACTAACCACAGGCGCCTGCAGTGCAGCTGTGGTTCCTGCAGCTGAGGTCAGGAGCGAGCTGTTTCGGCCCAGCACTGTTGTTCCTGCACTGCACACCTCAGGGCTTGTGCTGAGGGTGTGCTGGTGGCTGGCAGCACTGCTCCCCTTGGTGGATGGAGTTCTGGTTTAAATCCTCTGAGGTGTGAAGGTGGCGGTGCCCCTTCAGGCAGGTTGGCAGTGCTGCTGCCTCACTGTGTTTAGAGAAAGCATCGCTCCTCTCTGCTCCCCCCCAGAGCCCTGTTTGACTATGACCGGACCCGGGACAGTTGCCTGCCCAGCCAGGGGCTCAGCTTCTCCTACGGGGACATCCTGCACGTCATCAACGCCTCCGATGACGAGTGGTGGCAAGCCAGGCTCGTCACACCCCACGGCGAGAGCGAGCAGATCGGGGTCATCCCCAGCAAGAAGAGGTGAGTGCCTGTCAGCAGGAGCTGTCACACGTGGTGCCTCCTGGAGCCTCCCAGTCTCTGTGAGCCCTGCAGCCCTCAGGGTGGGATCAGCTCAGCCTGGAATCTCCAGTGCCCTGCCCCTCCATGGCTGTGCTGCGTGCAGGGCACCTCAGTTGAGAGCTGGGGCTTTGTGCAAGTCTCCCTAGGGAGGTGTTTTCCAAAGCTGGGTGAGAGGAGGGGAGTGTTCATCCCCCTCTGTGGTCCCTGTGGGGATGGAGAGTTGGTGTTAGCCAGCCTGGGGTTCCAAGTGAGAGCAGAGTCACAGGAGTGACTGTGGACTGCTCCCTGTGTCCTCTGTCGATCTGCCCATCTCTGTGAGCCGGTTCCCATGAGGTGGGAAGTCCCAGAGAGCGGAGGAACTGGCTGCCCTTGCCTTCAGGTCTGCAAAGCCAGCCTCATGTCTGTCCTCCATCCCTCTGGGAAGGCTGGTTGCTTGTCCCCTGTCTTGTTCCTGTAGTCACTGGCCTGGGTTAGACCCTGGGCAGGCAACTCCACATCTGCCCCTCCCTGGGAAGGAGCTGCCCTTTCCCAATGCAGCCACCACCTGAGGGTGCCTGGAGCTGCCTGAGGAGCCATGAGGGCACATGCACAGGACTAGCAGCTCTTTCTCCCCTTTAACTTCTGATCAGGGTGGAAAAGAAGGAGAGAGCACGATTGAAAACAGTGAAGTTCCACGCCAGGACTGGCATGATTGAGTCCAACAGGGTAAGTGCCGATCTGGGGCTCAGTGGGGCACCTGGAGCTGGTAACTAGCGAGGGCAGGATGAGTCCCAGCAGCCAGGGCTCCCAGTGGGGCAGCTGGAACAATCCCAAAGCAAAGAGCAATGTCACTGGACCTGCCCCAGGCCCACATCTGCTTGGCACAAACCCCCCCATGGCTGTGTAGGGATTGAGCAGAAGAGTCCAGGATGGTGCAGAAGTACTGGGGAAGGACTCCTGATTGGAGTGGTGGGGTAGCAGAGCCTGTGGCTGGGAGCTGCCTGCAAACAGCTCATGAAGGTAGCTGCCCTCACACCTCATGAGCAGTGCTTAACATGCCAACAAGGAAGGGAGAACGGCCTGGCTACCCCTGCAGAGCTGCTGATCGCCCCGTCAGCTTCCCAGCATCCCTTCCACGTGTTTTTCTCCATGCTTAATTTTTTTCCTGCATTACAGTTCTCATGTAATCTCCATGAATTTCATTTTGGGGGTAACTGCCCTGACACAGCTCCTCATTGTCTCTTCATTTTAATTTTCCCCACATGCGTTAAACACCATTGTTTTTTCTGTCCTCCCTTCCATCTCCATGTTCTTCAGTCGATCAAAACGAAACGTAAAAAGAGTTTCCGCCTCTCTCGAAAGTTTCCATTTTACAAGAGCAAAGAGAACCTGGCCCAGGAGAGCAGCGGACAGGAACGTAAGTAGCCGCTGGCCAGAGAGGTGTAACCCTCAGGTGCCCTGCCCTGAGGGGAGAGAGTCAGCACGTTTCCATAGCCAGAGGTCCCAGCATCCGCCTGGATTTCGGGACTGTGCTCCACAGTCGTGCCAGCAGCTAGGGAGAGACCGGAGCTTGAAACTAGAGCAACGACTGCAGGCTGGCACTCCCTTCCTTTCTCTCATGTTCAGTGTATTCATCTTTTCATCCAACTTTACACCCACCTGACTCCCTCCTCTGCCTCCCCCTGCTCTCCACCCTTTGCTGCGGGCTCTGCTCCCTCCCTCCGCCTGCCAAGGGCTGCTTCCCTCCAAGTGAGGGGCTGGCTACCTCCTGCAGAGCTTCTCCTGCTCCTGTCAGGGTTGAGGGCCTAGGAAGGTTCCAGCTCCATCTCCCCTAGAAGTGACTTGCAGCTCTGTATTCCCACTGGAGAGCCCTTCGCTGTGTGCACGGGGCAGCCGTGACCCCGCTGGGGGAGGATCTGCCCACCTGTGACTGAGGCACATCTTTGGTAGCTGGTTGCAGACGTTGGGGGGTCCCCAGCTCTTGTCTGGCAGCACCCTGGGACTCTTAGCAAAGGCAGGACATTCCGCTTGTTGCCCCAAGCCCTAAAGTGGGCAGCACTGGAGCTGCTCACCAAACCCAGCCTGTCCTCCTAGATGGTAATCTGCATCCTCTCCTTTGGCAGCATCCAAACTGGGGCAGCCCTTACACCTCTGGAGAAGGCAGAGCAGTGTCTGTGCCCCAGTGCCAGCACAGCAAGCACATCCCCTCCTCTCTGGGGCTGCCTTGGGTGTCATACAGAGGCAGGAGTTGCTGCTGGGCTGCTCTGTGTGCTGCCTGCATCTCTCTGCTGTCCGTGCCAGACTGGTGCCAGCTTCCAGTGATCTTAAGAGCCAGCACAAGCCTCTGGCCTGTGCTGAAGGTTATGCCTGTGTGTCTGGGTATCTCTGGTAGTGCCTCCACATGGCTGGGCTCCAGTCAGCTCCGTGCTGAAGCTGGGGGCTCGCTGAGGCCCTGCTTTTGGCCAGCTCTGCAGTGAGGTGACACACAGCAGGGGGATGAGGCAGGCCACATTCTTTCAGCTTGTGTCACAGGCCCACAGCCAGCCCCCTCCTTGTGCTCTGTCCATACCAACTTGCAAGGGGGGGGCCCTGCAAGCCCGTGCAAGCACTGGAGTGCGGGGCAGCTGACAGATGCAGGTGGGGAAAAACATATCCCCTTGCCTCGTGTTCTAGGACTGGCTTGCTGTGCCAGGGGAGGACAGAACCGCTGTGCCCTGCCATTACGCTCCACAAGGAGAAACACTTTGGCCCCCCCTGCCCTGTGCCAGCAGCTCGGGGTTGCAACTGCTCAGTGCCAGCCCATGCTGCTGGGGCTGCCCTGCCCTCCCCAGACCCAGGGTGGCCCTTGGGGACTCTGTGGCAGAGAGGGTGAGCTCAGTGGGGGGGTCCAGCTGCACAAGGCAAGACGTTGGCAGTGGGCTGATGGTGTCAGCTCTGAAAACATTTAACCTCACTTGCAGTTGCAGCTCTGGGCCGTTCTGCACTCCTGTCACTAATGCTGGTCTGGCTCTGTCTCCCCCATCCCTCTGACTCCCCTTTCCCGCGCTCTCTTCTCTCCCCCTCTCTCCCTTCTTGCTGTCTGTGAAATCAGGACTTCCCTGGGTTAAGTGACGATTATTATGGAGCAAAGAACCTGAGTAAGTTGAATTCCAATGCACATTGTTCCCTTTCTGTTGCTGGTGGTGCCTGGGGAATGGCCGGGCTCTGGCTGGGGCAGCTGTGCTTCTCTGGGTGTGGGGCAGGAGGAGCCCCAGGGGTGCTGCTCCTCTGATGGGGACCCCACATCTGCTGGCAGAGGCTGCGAGGCTTGAGGTGCCAGTGCTGCACGTGGGACAGGATGGGGGAGCTTGTTTGGGGGTGTTTGGCCATGCCCTAAGTGCACTCAGCTGAGGGCTGCCTGCTGCACCCAGGGTGAGCTGTACCTCCTCATCCTCTTCTTCATCCTGCTCCTGCCTGGGCTGGTTGTTGCTTTAGCACTCGGAGCCACTCCCACTGTGTGTGGAAGGAGACCATGACAGGCCTGCTCTGAGTGGGGTTGGTGACATCATTTTGAAGTGTTCCCACCTTCCTCTGGGTTACCACTACCCAGAGCTGCAAAACAACACTGATGGGAGCCCCATGGCCCTCCCAGCCGGGCATGAGCCCCCACCAAGCTCGTCACCCCCTGACCAGTGCAGAGCCTGACTGGGGCAGGCAGTGGCCAGCAAGCCTCTGTGGGGTGGTCGCAGCACTAGGATCAGCCTGTGCAAGCAAAGCCCCAAACTCTGTCCCATCCTGTCACTGTCTTGTCTCTGTGCGTCCCAGCCCCGTCCCCAGAGGTAGGCTCCCCTCTCCCCCTGCCGAATGGAGCCGTGCCCTCCCTGCCTGCTGTGTGCATGCTGCACCTGCTCCCCCTGCCAGCACCCTCCTCCCTGTGCACTCCACCTTCCCTCTGTCTGGGAAGCCCAGTGCCACCATGTCTGCCCACATCTACCAGGCAGACCCTCCTGGCTTCCCTGCCTTCCCCCAAAGTAGCCAAGCACCCCCCTGCATGTCCCCCATTCCCCAGCAAAGGGTGAAAGATGCCGCCCTTGCCCATGTGGCACAGACTTGTCCCAGTGGGTGCCGGGGCACAGGTTTTTTGGGAGGCCAGTGCTGTCCTGCCCTGGATCAGTAGTGCTGGGTGACAGCCGGGGTGCCCCCGTGCCTCCCGCCCTTGCTCCTTCTGAAGGGGATCTCTCTGGTTGCTTTGCAGAGGGCGTGACATCAAACACCAGTGACAGCGAGAGCAGTTCCAGTAAGTGTGTCTCACCTGCTCTCCCAGCCCGTGTACGTGTGTGTGTGTGTCCCTGTACGAGCGTGCACGTTCTGGCACTTCCATCTTGTCTTGTCCCAGTGGTGGTTCTGTTCGGAGGCTGGTCCTTCCTGCTGGTGACACAGATGCTGCGGCCAGCTCCCTCCTGGGAGCCAGGGAGAGCAGGGGCTGGGGGGCAGGATCAAACCTGCCTGCTCCACTGCTCACTCCTGGATGCAGGGCTCTGCTCCAGCCTTGGGTGGTGTGTTCCCAGTCCATGGTGGTCACCCATCCTTGGTGCCTGCTGCAGGAAACGATGGCCAGAGGCCACATCTGTAGCATAGGTGACTCCTGGAGCCCAAGCCTGTACAGGAACGTGGGATCCAGCTGCAGCAGATGTTCCCTTTGTCCCCAGAGGGTCCTCTAAATACCTGCAGCACACCTGCCATCCACCCTGCAGGGAGGATGCTGCATTCCAGTGGGCCCAGAGCCTGCAGCGGTGGGGAGGGAAAGAGGAGGCTTGAACGAGAGCTGAGACGTGAATAATTAAAGTGGCTCAAGGGCTGGTAACTGCATGCCTGTCATGCTCCACATCCATGGGTGGAGTGATATGGGCAGCCTGGAGTGTCCCCAGAGCTGCAGGAGGCTGGAGGGGCAGGAGTCAGCTTCTCATGGGTGCAGAGGGGCTGGAGAGCTGCTGTGAGCACTCACCTGCCTCTCCCTGGCTCTGTTGCAGAAGGACAAGAGGACACCATCCTGTCGTACGAGCCGGTGACGCGGCAAGAAAGTAAGTCGTGGTGCTGAGCTGCCCCAGTCCAGCTCCATTGTGGCCACCTGTGTCCCCAGCACAGCCAGGGTGGCCGGGGTGCCCTCCTGCCATCCCAGCACCACGCCGGGGGAACACCAGGGCAGTGTCGTGTGTTGTGTGCAGCAGGAGAGCCAGCAGTGCGGCTGCCTCGCTGGGCTCTCCCCAGCCTGGACTGCCCCTTTCCAATCAACACAAAACACTCATGGCATGGTCTGCAAGATCAAGGGAGAGATCCAGAGCTAAAACTGAGCTGGGCTTTAGTCCCCAGTTGAGGACAGGATTATCCTTTCCTGCCTCAGACCAGGTCCCTGCTGCAGAGCAACCCCCCAGCCCTCAGCCTGTGACCCTGCTTGATGCTCAATCCCTGCAGACCCTTTTGCAGGCTGAATATTCCCAGCCTCGGTGGCCTCTCCTTGCCAGAAGCTGGATCTGACCTTTAGGCTCCCATCGCTCCCCCAGCTCTGTGGCATCCTCGCCCAGCTGTCCTGGTTGCCTGGCAAGGGAGCAGCTTTGCTGATCCACGACCCTGGAGACCTGCGGCCCCTTCCCCTGGGGCCACGCAGATGGTTTAGGTCAGATGGGAAGGAGATGTTGACCGTGACCAGGAGGAGATAAACTCGCATGGAGGAGGCACCTTTGGGTGCCCATGTGAGCAAGAGCAGCCACTGCCAGGAGGGAGAGGGCAGGTCGATGCCAAAGGTGGCAGTAGGGTCAGCTGCCCGTGGCACAGGCGGGGCCTCAGGCTGTGGCTCTTGTTCGCAGTTCATTACGCGAGGCCGGTGATCATCCTGGGGCCGACAAAGGACCGAATTAACGATGACCTCATCTCGGAATTCCCACACAAGTTTGGTTCCTGCGTGCCCCGTAAGTCCCAGCTGGTGCTCGGTGCCCTCGCTGGAGGGAGGGGAGGGTGGGGGCTCTGCTGCTTGTGGGGTCTCACCCATGGCATGGGGAGGGGGCCGGGAGCACGGGTGGGATTTCCCCCTCCCGGTTTGGAGTGTGTCACTCCGGGTTCACTCTTGGCCCACTCTCCTCCAGACACCACCAGGCCTCGGCGCGACAACGAGGTGGACGGACAGGACTACCACTTCGTCGTATCCCGGGAACAGATGGAGAAAGACATCCAGGACAACAAGTTCATAGAGGCTGGGCAGTTCAATGACAATCTCTATGGGACCAGCATTCAGTCAGTGCGAGCAGTAGCAGAGAGGGTGAGTGTCAGGTGGCATTCCTGGGACCAGGACACATCCAGCCTCAACCTGTACGTGTTCGGCAGTTCCCCTCCTTTCCCTGTGTTGTCAGTGAAGGGCTGTAACCACATTGAGCGAGTGTGGCACGAGCCTCTCCTCCCTTGAGTCCTACCAGGCAGTGTGGCTGCTTTTCTCAGCCGTGTTACTGCACTTTGGGGTCGTACCTTTGTCATCCAAACTCCACCCGAAAGCCCAGCACTGGTGGCACCAGCCTTGTGCTTGGGAGCTCACAGGACAAAGGGGCCTGACTGCCCTCAAAGCAGCTGCATTCCTGTGCTGGAGTTACCAAGGGCTTGTAAATCATTTCACGTGTCCAGGCAAAAATTCAGTCCCTTTGCTCTGGTACTCACGGGAACGTGGGGCTACTGGGAGCTGGCTTGTGCCTCAGGACTGGGGTTTCTGCTCTGTGGCTCCTCTGCTTTGTAAGCACATCTGTGTGAGCAAGCTGTTTTCTGCACAGAGTAGACTGTGTGGGCAGGTCTGATCCCAACTGTCTCCTTTCCAGGGGAAACACTGCATCCTGGATGTGTCTGGCAATGCTATCAAGAGGTTGCGACAAGCACAACTGTATCCCATTGCCATTTTCATCAAACCAAAATCCATCGAAGCTCTCATGTAAGTGCAGCACCGTGTTCTGTGCCACTCCAGGGCGAGGAGTCTCTAACACTGGGGGGATGTGTCTGCTGCCTTTGCTTTTTAGAAAGCAGCAGAGGTTGCTTTTGGTGCTGAGCTTGTCCCTTGTTAGTAGGAGCTGGGCCCACTGCTGTCTGTGTGGTATCCCTCCACATCTAATGCCACAGTGCATCCAGGCTTTGTGGATTTCTCTGGCTTAAAGCCCTTCATTCATCCCAGAGGGGATCATCCGTGGGAAATGTAAAAACGCTCCCAAAGGTGCCTGGTGTAAACTGCTCACCTGGACCCAGAAGAGCTGTTGAGAGCCCGTAGTGCTGGGTCACAGCTGGATGGTGGCTGAGCCTGGACAGCCCTGGGGAACAGAGGAAATGCTTCCTGTGTGCCTGAGGGGGACCTTCTGCCTGTCCTGTTGTTCTGGCCCTGGGTAGTGCAGGCTGGAAAGGATGTAAGAGCTGAACTTGCAACTCTTCTGAGCAGCAGAGATCAATATTTGTGAGGAGGTTTGGGATTGAGATCAGAAGACACTGGGTCAGTTTGCTTGCTTAGGTGTTTTATGAAAAAGGGGGGTGGTGACAGGCTCTGCAAAAGCAGGGAGACTTCTGCAGTGGTCTTGCAAATTCAGGGAATTGTCTGGATTTGAGTTCACTGCTGTGCTCCTGGTGAAGGTGGGGGAGGTGGTGGCAATGGGAAGAGCTGTTGGAAGTTGAGATGAAGTTCCAAGGCAAGCTTGGAGCACGTGGGGAAGGGCCCTGCCTTTGAGAGCTGGGTCCTGCACAGCTTCCATTCCTGTGAGCACAGGATTCCCAGGCACCCTGGCCCTGTGGGCTATTTTTGCTTCTGTTCATTGCTAAGAAGAACTAAAAGTTTCTGGTTTTTTGTGCATGGCAGGGAGATGAACCGGAGACAGACATATGAACAGGCCAACAAGGTCTTTGATAAAGCCATGAAACTTGAGCAAGAGTTTGGAGAATATTTTACAGGTGAGTGTCCTGAGCAGGCTTTGTATCTGATTTATTTCATTTTTCCGTCTGACAGCTGTGACCTCTCTACCAGCACTGTCTCACTGCAGGGTCATGGGAAAACGTCCAGCTTCATCAAAGCAAAAAAGGAATGGCACTTTGCCAGGAGGGCTCTGCAAGGGGACTGCTCCAAGATCAGTGGATAAGAGTAAACCAGCTGGAGAGAAGGAGACAAGTTGTCAGGCAGGATTTTCTGAGTTTGTGAAAGCTTATTGCCAACTTTAATACCAGCAAAGGGGAGGCACAGCAGAGATTCAGTATGCTACAAGTCTACAGGAAATAAACTCCCTGCCTGGGGAAAAGGGGAGCATTTTCAAAAAGAGAGAAGTGCCATTTTTAAAGAGGAAAGATAAAAAATTAGTGACCTAAATAGGGGAGACTGTCCTGAGTAATTACAAAACATCTCCCGAAAAAGACTGGAAGTTTGGCTGACTTCCTAAGTAGCCTTTGCTGAAGAGCCAGTCTGGGGCTGCTGGCACTTTGTGCCTGTAGAGATGAGCTGCTCATGACACAGGCATCCCTGTGCATTAAGGAACTAATGTTTGTAACATGATTAATTCTGGAAAATCGGGGGCAGGCGAAGACGCAGAGAAACTGGTCTTCCATCTTTTCTCCAGAGCAGTAACTGTTTATTCTAAAGCTGAGGAGTCATAATCCTGCCAAACCCTGTGTTACCCACCTAACAGCTACTGGGAAAAATTCCAAGCAGAACCTTTCTCAAAAATTGATCTCGTATGAACAAATGTCTGGGTAGAAACAGGGTAAGAGCTTTTTCCCCAGACCTGTCCTGGGCAGCAGCTTCAGAGCTGCTGGCTGTAATTCCAGGGGGCTGTGCTGCAGTTTTGCAGGCCCTCAGCATGCCACTGTGCACTGGGAGGGTGAGTTTGAGGTTGACCTGGGGAAGGAACACCCTTGGCTGGAATGTCTCGCTGAAAGGACTGGGTAACGGGCAGAGAGATGGTCACTGTCACAAGTCCTGTGCCAGCAAGTTAAAGTGAGGGAACAGAGATGCTGGAGAGCACAGAGGCAGGATGGATTACTAGGAAGCTCTGGCCTCCAGTGTGCGTGTTCCTGTGATGCAGGAAGCACCGTGAAGTGCTTGGTGCTGTGTCTGTGCCGAGCAGTGAGGCCGTCGCTGCTCTCCGAGCGAGGGTTGCTGGGAGCGGCGGCCGGGCCGTGGCCTTTCCAGCCTGACAGCACATGATTCCCACCCTGCAGCAGGGGAAGCAGCAAACAGGAGGAGCCCTCAGCAGCCCACCAGAGGGTACAGACAAAGCCAGCACCTCGGGGCAGACTGATGTGCCCCGGCCCTGCCTCCCCTCGCTCGGGTTCACCGCGGCGCAGCGGTGGCCGTGCCAGGTCCGCCCGCAGCCTCGGTGCCTGACACAGTTTGCAAAGCTGATTAGCGGCCTGGTGTGGAGAGCCCAGCCAGCCCTGCACACAGCGAGGAGCTCTGCCAGCCAGGATCAGTGCTGGCTAATCCCTGGGGAGGTGCTGGTTTAACCCTCTGTGTCACGGTGGGGCTGCGGCAGCTCCTCTGACGCAGTTCAGTCCGTGCTCGCTGTGCCCTCCAGGCCAGGGGGAAGGCCCTCCCACAGCTTGTGGCAGGGAAGGGGCAGTGCTGCCTGGTGCTCAAGGTCTTTCTTGCTCTCTCTCCTTTTCCAGCCATCGTACAAGGAGACTCTCTTGAAGAGATTTACAGCAAAATCAAACAGATCATCGAGGACCAGTCCGGGCACTACATCTGGGTCCCGTCCCCAGAGAAGCTCTGAAGATGTCCCCCACCTGCTTCCTTGTGAGCAGAAGATCTCCGAAGTCCCACCCATCCAAGCCCTCTGCCCTGAGGGGGAGGGATATGAAAACTATTCCTGCCCCCTTTTTTAGATCGTCGCAAAATTGAGTTTTCTAGTCCTGTTTCTTTTGTTGGGATGAACTCATATCATTCATCACGTGACTGTTCCCACCATTCCTGCATGGACCTTCCCACTGCTCCATTAGAGACAGATGAGAACCCATTCAAGGTCGTTTTTTATTATTATTATTATTATTATTATATTATTATTATTATTATTATTAACTAAACAAAGAATCAAGATGGGAGGAGGCGGATAAGGACTAATGTAAGAAACAAGTGAAACAATGGACTCTGAACATGAGCTGGTATCAGAGCTCCAGGGGCATTTTTCCAAGTGTGACTGTCTAGCAGCTCTGAACAGTGCGACACACGGGCAGCAGAAAGCATTTTATTTATCTGTATATGTAATTTATATATAATATATAGAGAGATATTATATATATATTATATATATATATGTATGTGGACTAGGAAACCGGAGGGACCTCTCTGGAAAGGTATTTGTGTTATTGCAAGGTTCTTTCAGTTCCTCTGTCCCAACCACTGGGCGTAGGGAGTCCACTTGGGCAGGAAGAGCTCGAAACGGTACCGGGTGCTTTGGAAGCATCTCCCATCCAGGCCAGTTCCCTGCAGCCACCCTGGGTCTGAGGCAGAGCAGAGACTGGTACTGCCTGTGCAGGAGGGACCAGAGCGAGGAGCAGCAGCTGGTCTGAGAGAGGCTGGGAGACAGAGACTGAGCAGGAGGCTGTGGAGCAAGAGAATGGATGATACTACATATTAAATTGCACATTGTTTTACACACCACCTTATGTGTTTGCATGAGAGGTTTCCTTTTGGTTCTATTTTTTTAAGCTGATTTTAAACCAAAACCATATTGTGTTGTTGTGTTGGCTTTTTTTTTTTTAATTATTATTATTATTATTCCATTTTTCTCTTGTTAATAATGAACTGAATGGGTATAAAATCCAGTTTTTTAACTTATTTTTTAAGCTGGCTCTATTGTAAATAGAATCTAGATCTGTGGTGTTTAGTTAAGAAATACTCTACTGGCCACATGGAACAAATGTACTCACTGTCCTGTGTTGCTGTGGAAAACCTGGGATGTTGGACTGGCCCTGTGCCTGTGGGTGCAGGTGAAATGACCCATTCTGGCTCGTGGCAGCACACTGGCACTCCCTTCTGCGTTAGCCACTGGCAGGAAAAGCCCCCAGCTGTGCCTTGGATGGACACTCACACTTTCCAAATCAGTAAGAGAACTGAGAAGCCTTCCTCTCTTCCCTGCTCCGTGCCGAATTCCTGGCTCTGCTGCCGGCAGGTGCCAGTGGTGGCTTCCCCAGTGGAAGGCCCATCCTTCCAGCACAGCAGCACCTCGCCCGCTGGGAGCTGGGGCTGGCGGGTGGCTGCGTGGCCACCTTGCCTGGTTCTGACTCTGACACCTCTGCATGAATCCTGTTTCTGAAATCGGGCTCTGCTCCCCCTCTCAGGGTGCCCCCAGAACCCCGAGGTGCCGAGAGCTGGCAGGGCTGAGGGCAGGGGGTGCAGAGCTGCCCCTCCTGCTGGGCACTGAGATTTCGGAAGTGAGACAACTATGAGCGCCCAGACTGCCGGCCCCGAGCTGAGCCACGTCTGTCCCTGAGGACGATGGTTTCCACACTCGAGTGGGGCTCCAGTGTGGGAACAGACCCCGGTGTGAGGCTGGGGGGACACTGGCGTGGCCTTTGAGAAGGAGCTGCGCTGCTGGGTGCCCGTGTGCAGGTTACGAGCGCTCCCACCCGAGAGCTGGCCGAGCACCAGGGCAGGGTCACTGCACAGGCACGAGCAGGTAAGTGTTCTGCTGTCTGGCAGGGATAGGTGAGGGCAGGGGGTGCTGGTCCCTGTCCTGGAGGCGATGGGTACCGGTGTGTCAGTCGGTGCCAGCACACAGGCCGCGGGTGTCGATGTGAACAGGAACTGTAGGACTGTCCCTGTGCTGTCCGGGGAGAAGCCTCCCTTTGCCCCTCCTGCCTCCCAAGGAGCCCTGCAGGGACTGAGCAGCTCCTGGGGCCGGGAGCAGGACACAGACGCAGCCGTGGGCGCAGGGCAGGGCAGGAAGGATTGTGCTGTCGGTGGGACCGACCCTAAAGGAGCACATGGAACTCTGGCAATGGATTCCCCTCGGCATCCACCCCCTGCCCTGCTGCTCCTGCTCCGGCTGCTGTAAATGCCGGTCCCTGGAGAAGTGGAGTAAGTGAAACAAAAGTCCTTAAGGTGCTAGTCACACCATTCCTGTCTGGGTTTTTTTTTCCTTTTTTTTATTTTTTTCCTAATAGCCTGTCTCCCTCTATCGAGTCACGTGGAGAAAAAGATGATACACTCCATGGCATAGCTGACAGTGTCGAATCGATCATGACAACAGTAGTTGGTTAACAGTGTTTCTTCCAAGGAGACATATATTTTTAATAAACAGAGAGTTGCAAAGAACTCTTGTCTTTGAGATCTTCTTGTAGAGTCCTTCCTTGTGTGCCAGGTCTGGTTTTTTGGTGATTTTAGCAACTATTGATACGGTCTCTTCATGGCAAACTGAAGTGTTGACAGGGGGTTAAAACAAAAAAAAAATTGCTTTTTTTTTTTCGTACAAAAGGTGGTGACTGGGCACTTGCCTAATGCAAAAAGGAAATTTTAAAAAAAAAAAAAAAAAAGATAAAATTTAAAAAGAAAAAAAAAAAAGAGAAAAAATAAAGGAAGTGAGTGGGCCTGTAACGAGGCCACTGAAAAGCTCCTTTGTGGTTGGGTGTCACACAGGTTGAGTCTGACCTGGTGATGTGACACCATGAGTGTATTTTGGGTCATAGCTTGAATTGTGGGGAGGTTGCTTTACAAATAATAGGGTTTGTATGTTGCTGCATAATTGCTCCTGTATTGAATATGAAGACAGCAAAGTAAAAACATAGTCCAGACAATACAGAGCTTCTTTTTACAGTTTAATGTGCTGTTCAGATATCAGAGAGGAGAAAGAAGCTGTAAGGACAATTAGTATCATTTTTAATACCTTCAAGTGCAGACAAAGGGAGTGTTCACTGAAAGACAAATGGGGTTAGTGGGGTGTCACTCTACATTCTTTCCTGAATCTGCTTTGTCATTTAGCTGAGCTAATGGAAAGGTGAGAGAGGTTTGTTTCTTAAATATTATATTTCCTTTTTTCCTGTCAAACTGCACACAGGAGAAACGAATTGAGATTTTGGGAGAACAGAAGAATTGACTGAGCATGAGCATACAGTTTGCAGACAGTTCACAGCTTATGAAGCTCACTGCACAAATTAAACACCCTTTAGAAACTCCTTCAGCTGATCAGATCAGCTGTCTGGTGGTGGTGGTGGTTGTCCACAAACCCCCGGCAGATCAAACAGTTGCTAAGCAGATCTAATATTAGCAGTAATCGCTCTCAAAAATCCAACTGTTTGCTTGCATAATGACAGGTTTGGAATGATGAAGCATCTCAGAAGCACTGTCTGTTCCTGGCTGCCACAGGGGCTGCCAGGCTGCTCTGTCCAGTCCTGGTTAGTCCCAGTAACCCTGAGCTGCAGCCACTCCTCCCTGGGCAAACCAGGATGTGTCCTGAGCTGATGTGTCATCTCGACCTGCTGTGACAGGAAACCTTCAGGTTCCAGTGAGGGAGAGGAACAGAGGGTTATGTTCTCAAATAAACCCTGTCACTCCTGTGGGGCGGAGACAACCACTGGAAGAGAAACCGGCATGGGAAGAGGAGGAGGGTGGTGTGAAGGGAGAACTCGCTCTGTTGCAGCTTTTTATTATTAGCACCGTGCTCTGACCAACTGAGCTCATCTCAGGGTTTTAACAAGCTATTTTTCTGGCTAAGGACAAACAGCTCTGCCTACCAGGACCTTAGCAAAGTCCTGGACCAAACAACTGCAGAGCATCGTCCTGTTAATGGTCCTGTCTCCTTGTGAAATGCAGGGAGGATGGTTCTCTCTGCCACAATGTCCTGCTACAGCTGCCTGGAACACGCAGGAAACTAATCTGCCCTAAGACACCTCTAGAAAATTAGATCATAAGCTGCTTGTGCTAGAGAGAAACATGTCTGTGCTTCTGTCTGCAGCTCGGGATAATTAACTGCCTTGGCCTTGGTTAAGCAGAGGAGCACAGGATCTCTGAGGCTCCTGGAAGAGGGGATTGAAAGGAATTTGATTCTCATTTTCTCAAAAATCTTCTACCCTTGGATGCCCGAGATGGAGGAACGTGGATAGCCCTTCGTTGCTAATGATGCTTGGCAGCACAACCTTCAAGGACTGCTGTTCCCTGCTCTCCTCAGGATGTCACAGCAGGACTCGTGGCTGTGCAGCAGGTACAGTGATCATCACGTCAAAGGTGTCTCTTTCCTGGAAGAATCCTCAGGTTCCCCTTGACTTACAGTGTTTATTTATATCTCTTGCCTCCAAAATGAGGGTCATCTTTAACTTTAGGGTTTTTTAACCCTGAGGAAAAACGTTTTGTTGTTGGGGTCAGTGGGTGCAGCAGCACCTCTCAGTGGAACGAGCACCTGGGAGCTCTTGAGAGACCTGCAATCCCCTGTTGGGGCCTTGTTGGTGTTTCCCCCCTTAGTTCAGAGCACTGCTTGACAAAAGCTCCTGCCCAATCCCCTAATGAGCTTCAGCGCTCTGCCAATTACCTTAATTACTGGGACCACTTCAATTCCAGGTTCTGGCCCCTCTTCCTTCCTGCCCCTCCAGAACATTCAACTGCAGCCACAACAGCAAAGCTCTTCCCACACGGTGTGGTGTGGGGGGAGGTGGCTCGAGGTGCATCCCCAAGGGAAAGCTGCTGTGGGGCCACCTCCTCTGGGTGAGAAGGGGTGAAAGGGGCTCCTCCCCAAACAGTTACGAGATTATCAGATTAGGAAAAGAAAAAAATAAAAAAAGACAGGGCATAAAGTACAGAAAGGGGGGAAAATTGTGACCTCCTGCCCTAGAGGATCCATTTGTGTTCTCAGCAGCAAGTTCCAGAACCGGGATCCAGCACACCCTGCAGCTTCCTCAGGGATGTGTACATCGGAAACTACCAGTGCAATGCCACCCCCTGGAGCCATCTGTGCACACCCAGGGATGAGCACCCCGGGATCTCCGAGCCCAAAGAAAACAGGGATCAATTTTGAAAAGAGAAGACTGAGGGAGGAGGAAAGAGCAGCACTGTGTTCTTTTTTCTTCCAAGTCAGCTCTTGTTGGCTTAAAAAGATTTATAACCCCCAGTCACTCTGGATGGGCTCCTGAACTATAAAGCTAGTGGAAAATACACTGGACCAGCTTTCATCCACACCAGCAAACACCTGCAAAGCAGAGCGATGGCACACAAACTGCCCACTGGGAACAGCCACTGGGAATGCAGCTAATTAAGTCTGATTCAGCTAGGAGAGGAATTCTTGCCCTACTTAAAACCCTGTGTAAATACTCAGCCTGGAATAAAATGTGCCATGTGAAAATCCACAGAGAAGAGGTGAGTACTATCAGCAGAGCCTGTGGCTGATCTGATCCGGCCTCCTCAGGGAAATCTGTAGCATAAAAGGAATCAAACCGAGTATCTCCAAGGAAAATATTCAAACCATTCTGGCTGCAGGCAAAACCACATCCAATGCTTCCTGCTGTGTGGAATTACCTGCTGACACCTCCTGGGTAAATGTGACCTCTGTCACCTGGTCCCACGTGACACCCTCACCTGTTCACGTGTGTGTGCAAGCCACAACAGAGCAACAATTACACAGTGAGCTCAGAGGGAGGGGTGGAGCCCTCACAGCGGCTCAGAATCGGTGCCAGTGAAAGCCTCAGCTTTTTCCTCGAGCTCATGGTGTGCCCTGACTGACTGTGAAACCAGCAACCAGCTCCAAATTCCTGTCCACACCGAAATGGGCTGGAAAATAAACTGATCTGATAAATATTTATGCAGCAAGGCAGCTGTGACATCCAGAGGAGATGGAATACTTTTGGAATACTTTTATCATTCTCACTGCCACTTACTACTAAAATCAGGCGTTTAAACCAGCCTGTTACACAACAGCAGACTCAACTCATGAAAAAGTTAAATATTTATTTCTAACTCTTAAATATTTATTTCTAACTGTTAAATAGCTCAGGAGAATGAAAATTATTCCCTAGAGGGAAACAATTACATCTATTGAATAAACACTTCCAAAAAAGTACGTAACTTCTTTGCCAACACAAAGGGGGGATCCTGGTTTCTTTCCCACTGCTCCCAGGACCTCGTGCCTTTGCAGAGCTAATGGCTCTTCCATTCAGGAGAACATTTCCAGGAGAGACTCCTGTCCCTTTTTTTTTTTTTTGCAGTTGTGGCTCTCATTATTCTTCACTTGGAATAAATCCTTTTGCTCTGTCCAGTTTGTCCAGGACTTCACTATAAAGGCCAATCATCTGGAGGATATAAGCACCACAGCTGTCAGCAGGGATGGACAAAGCTGCATCATTCAACTACATACAACAAAGTGACAGGGAACAGAAGCGAAGGGAATAGGTGGGAGCTTCTACACCTGAAATTTCAGATTGATTTTGGCTCAGGTTTAAATACAATGGCTTAGAAAAAAATAGTTATATCAGTGCAACCTAATAAAGGTGTCGTAAAGCACAGTTTGTATCTGAGTCTTACATCAGTGAACAAACCCATTCACCAAATCACAGAATTTGGGAGTTGATGTTGAGGTTGGAAGGGAGGGATCTCAACTCTTACTGCCTTGACTGACATATTTAAAATGGAATTAGAGTTACAGCCAGCCCTTGATTGCCCAGATTGTGCATCAGAGAATGAAAGGTGACACCAGTCAGGCTGTACAGAATCGAGACAGGAGCACCAGCCAAAAGCTGCAGAAAGAAGCTTATTTATGACAGACTGGAAAAAAAAAAAGTGTCATTGCAAAGTGTCATCTACAAAGGGCCTGGCTCTGAAATTTCTCCCTCACAGAAGTGGCTAAGCTACACCTGAAAAGATGAGCTTTAAGGATTCCACTCACAGCAGCCTAAACCCTATTTATAAGAGATTAGATTACACCAGAAACCAAGCTTGAAAGTGTTCATACAACAGCTGACTTTAGTAAGCTGGTACAGCACCTTGACTTTAGTTAAAGCAGGCAAAGGTATGGGGGTTCTCCCATGGCACAAATAGAAGTTTATTTCCAGCCATCCATTTGAATCATCCTTCCAATAGCAGGACATTACATTACTCTTTCTATTGTCTATCAAAACTTTTCTGGCCTCACTTTGAAAAAATCTTCTGGCATCAGGCTGCCCCAAAATATTGAGGTACCATTCTGCTCCTCAGGCTCTGCAGAGATCAGCACCAGTGGTTTATTCACCCAGATCCACATCTCAAAGTCAGGCCAGGCACCCAACCCCACCCCTCAGACCCCCCTGTGTGCACTTACATGGCCCTCGTAGCTCTTCTTCAGGGATCCCAGGTGATTG